ATAACCCGTCGGAGTTGCCACGTCATCCGGGTTTGGTTACAAAACTTGTTGACCCGGGTGTAGATAGTACGGTACTAGTAGTAGTTAGTAGAAAGCAAAGCAGGAAACAGGACCTGAGGCTGCATCAAGACGGCAATGTGAAAGGGCGCTTGATCGATTTGATTGGGCTTCTGATTGTTTGTAGTCTTCTGTTGTGCAGTGGTTGACTCGTCGGTGAGAGGAGCGGTTTGATCTTTGGTGGGCAAACCACTTGAAACTGAATTTGGGGAGGTCTGCATTTGGCCCTGGGAGCATTGTGCGGAAGCAACATGATGTTGCAGCTACTTTGATCAAAATTTGCTGGCGCACAACACCCTCGTTTCAGCTGCAGCTGACCTCTGGAGCTTGCATTGCAGCACCTGCATTGCCTGGTCCCATCTAACCTTTTAGAAAGAAAGAGAGAGCGAGAGAAAGGGACTTTTGATAATTAGAGAGTAGATTATGAGTTGAGGGCAGGTAGATTTAGAAGCAGAAAACTAAAAGCGAAGATCAAAATGGCAGCGTTTACCTGCTAATCTGCCCCAAGAAATAGAACCTTACAAAGCAAACTCGCGCACCTGTAGGAGATAATAATCCTGAAAAACGTCCTGGGGACAGCTAGCAGACAACAGACGCAATGGCGCGTACAAAGCTGATGGAGCTTGCTCGGTTGTCTGGCGGTCTGAGGACTGGTAGCTCGGGTGATGGCAGGCTGGGAGATTGCCTTGATGCTGCAGACAGGCAGGGGGAGGGGGTCTTTGCCAGTACGTCTGGGCTCGATGAAGAGGAATATAGGGTGAGGATTCGTCTCTGAGGGCAACTGGATTGTGCTTGAAAAGGGGCCATCTTAGGGGAACCGAGAAGCATGAGTGTCCCCCTCAAGCGCTGTTCGGTAGATTCCTGCCAGAGAACGTGGACTACTTAAGGGTATCATACCGCAGCTGTGTATGGAGAAGGCATGCGACCAAAGATGCAAACATTCTGCACAGTAAATGCTTCATTCAATGTTTTCTTACTGTGATTCTCAATGTGGGTGCAAAACGTGATACTTCAAAGATTCGCTGTGCTGTGCTGGGCAGCGCTGCTGACCTACAATCTGCAATGGCTGTATCGAATTGTTCTCACTTACTGGGCTGATCATATTCCTAAGTCTGCGGGCCTGCTTTTACAGACCATATTTTGGATTGTCACGGCAAATAGCATGGACTGCTTAACTCTGGTTGTCCGATTGGCTGGGCGTCTTATTGCGTTCTCATTCTGCATCCTGCTCACTTGATCAGTGTACAAATGTCCATCTGAGTACTGAAACTGTTGTTGAAAGAGCGGGTTCAGTTGAGGCGTCCAAACCAGTCAAAGCCTTGATCCTGATTAGAAACCAATCAAGCCCAATGTCTGAAGCTTGACTCCTTCAAGGACTTATTTACCTGGCCCAAACTTTTCCCAGGGATTTTTTGACACACCAAAACGAACCGAACTTGCAGACTTGGATAGCAGGATGCACCAACTGATGAGTGAGCTCTTTTTGCCTTGCTGCAAGACACGGACGTCAACATTTATATTCAGGCAGACGCCTTTTTAAGTTGTGGTTTATTGTCCTTTCAGGAGGACCCTTCGGACAACCAGGACGGCCCCGAGCTGACCCCCGGGCGCAAGCGTTTCCGCACTCAGAAAGCGCTCGAGGCGCTCGAGAGCGAGCTGGTCCTCCCCAGCTGGATGGACGGGACCAAGCTCGACCTGTCTCGTGCTTTCCGGCGCTCCGACTTCCCCCCCGACATGTTTTGCATCCCGTCTAAGTACCTAAAAAGGGCAAAGAAAGAGTACAGAAACGGCTCTTCCCCTGCAGCAGGGGGGAGGAGGATGAAGCGGGGATTGAAGCGGCCGAACAAGGCGGTGCAACAGGCGATCAAGGAGATCCCGCAGGGGATGGCGCTTGCTCTGGCGGATCTGCTTTCGACCGCTTGCTTTCCCGACTTTTGAGCGGTCGTACCTGGTTGCTTTCTTTGCGTAAATTTTTCTACTTTCATTGAGCCAGCGGGCGCCAAAATAAGCCCAAGATAAACCAACTTGGTTTGAATAGTGTGGCTCTTCACATAGAATGGATAGAAAGGATAGATATAAAGTCGTACATCACACAACAATCTGTAAAGACACTTCAGCCATGTAAAGCTGCATGTGTGTCGATACGAAAACAAAGGTCGGTACTATCACCAAGGTGCTTGATAAAGAGAACTCGTAGGGGGCACGTGAATCAGTTGATCAACAGCTGATCGAAAGGATCGATTGGATCTACGTTGTCTGTACAATTGGTCTACTAAGCAAAGTCCGGAACCTTTCATACTGAAGCACTGGGCCCATGCCCCACATACTAAGACGTTCTTAAACCCAGTCTAGATGGATCAAGCCATTAAGCATACATGAACGATTTCGATGCTCGTCACTGGCACTGAGCACATGGTTTATATTTATGTGACTTCAGCGGGGTCGCGGCCGCCTTCACGTAAAGCTAGTTCGCTTCTGGTGGCATGCATGACCGCGTTGTACTTTTGCCGCCGCCGGCCAGCTATATGAGTGCACTACGTATAGCACCGTCTGAATCTAGGTAGATTATACAGCATGATACAGAGCTATAGCTATAAAGGCAGCTGCCAGACAGCGAGCGCGCACTGCATGAGCGTTGGAAGCTGGCTGAAACGCGTGACGCTTTCCAAACAAAATTGACATGCCAGGGGGCCAGACACTGAATTGCCTCTGGACATGGGCACTGATTTCGATCAATAAGTTAGTCAGGACGATTCGAATCTGCTTGGCCGGTCAGCTCGTTGAAGTCTACTCCGCCAATTGCGTGCAGGAACGCGTACACATTGCGAAAACTCAGCTGTTCAATGACTTTCTATCGCTCTTCTGTACTATCAAGCGAGACTCACAGCATTATACTAGGTCGAGCGACAATAAGAATGGGAGCGGCAGTAGTTAGACCGAGGGTGCTGCAGACCTATGAAAATGGACGTGCTTCCACTCCGCTAAGCCCTTTCCATCTCTTTTCCGCTGCCACACCCTCGTTTCCTGCAAAGACAGACGGGACGCCTAAGCTCAGTTTACGGTCAAAACTACCCATGTCGGCGGATCAAGCATTGGCTGAATTTTGATCCCTTATGCGTTCACGCATTCCAGATTGACCATTCTGAGTCAACCTACACTTCTGACGTCAGACGTTGCAAATCAGAGACTCGAGTCAAACCTTCCAAGCTTAAGGTCGCACTGACGTCACCTCCGGCATCGTAGCCGTTCACAACCCAAACTACACGTCCCCTGCCTGCTGACGCAAGCACCGGACATCCAATAGCAACAAATGACGTCAGCAAGAACCCGCGCATACCTGGTGCGCCGACGTGAACCCTGTCTTCGAGGACCCCACGTCTTGTTGCAACCGGACGTACGTCACGACCGCGACGTCTCCATAAACGGACACTTTGGGGGAGGAGATGGTGGACTTTGGCCGAATCAGCGCGAGCGATTCCGGGGATGCGGCGTCCGCAACGGGTTTCTTGAGGTCGAAGTAGAACTTGTGGAAGCCGAGGCCTTCCGCTAGGTGGCCTGGACGGTACCGGAAGACTGCCATTTCAGTCATGTTTTCCGCCTTCAAAGGAACTTATGATTTTCCGTAGAAACATTGATCGGACTTGTGGGACGTTTCTGAGCGACGGTCTTCTTGAGGTCGAAGTAGAACTTATGGAAGGGGAGGCCTTCCGCTAGGTGGCCTGAACGGAAATGGAAGACGTCGGAAGTCGAACGGTATGATTCCGCCAACTTGTGGAAGTGAAAGCATTGCTTGATCGAAGTAGAGGTTTCGCTTGGTGGCCTGGACGGAAACGAAAGACGGTCTGTGTCTCAAATTATAAGTCCGCCGTCGAAAGGTGGCCTGTACGGAAACCGAGAGATGTCTAGATTCTCAATGCATGGTCCCGCCATCGAAGGAAGTGAAACCGTTGCGTGGTTACATCAAATAAGCTCGTAGGACGCTTCTCCCGCAAGACAAGCAGAAAAGAAAAAGCCCATTTTCTTCTAGAAGTGCCAGAAACCCTCCTTTCCCTTCTATCGGGCTTGCAAACCGAAACAACGTAGACCACCTCTTTTCTGTTCAGCAAGGCCTCTTCTCTTCTATTTCCATTCGAGTCGCTCCGCCTTCCGCCTTGAAATCAGAGGAGGCCACTCGACTTGAATGAGGATTGAGATCGCAGCGAACACGGAACGGAACGCAAACGGGAATCGCGACCCCACCTTGCGCCTCCGGCTCAAACGCCGTCAGCTTTTCGTCGCACAGCTTCGCATAAGCCTCGTAGTCACCGCCGTCGATAGCGTCCAACAGCATTTGGGTGGCCTCCAATAAGTTGGCCTGCAAAGACCGGCAAAAAGTAAGCAGTCCATCTAACCTATTTCTCTCTTCTTCTGTCGGGGGGCGAAACGCTCACTTTGCTTACTTGATCGAAGAAACTTTTCCTGAAGAGCGGTGACAATGAAGAAGGGTATGTTTGACCAGCGACGCTGAGTTCTGCCATAAAATGTGGGACTTTTCAGAACCTCAGAATTCAGTATGGAGGGTGCCATGATCGGAAGACGAAAACTGGTGTTTGGATATGAGTCACTAACGAAGACGATACTGGTCAATCCTCAGAAACATTACTTTCTGAATCGACATCGAGCACACGCTGCTGACGACATTCACAAATGTTCGCACAATGTTCGCTCGTATATGCATTCGGCGCCTGTTATTCTCAGAAGGCTCCCCAAGAGTTGGGGGCTGCAGAGGATTAGGAAAGGGAAAAGCCATCGCGAATCAAGTGCACGAGCCCACCGCACAACATCATGTTCGAGTCCTCCGGGACCGAAGTTTCGTGGCGGCTCACCTGTTGAAACTCTGTAAAGAAGGGCTGGATGCTCCGAAAGACATCCTCTTTACTCCGAGTGGCAGACACCTTCACAACAAGAACAAAGTCCGGATGTCAAGCAAAGGGCTCTTACGGGTCTGAGTTTTGAATTGCACAACTCGCTTTAATGCTTCGCTTCAGAAAGCACTGATTGGATTCAGAGTGTTAGCAAAGCCAGAAGAGCAGGAAACGGTGGTTGGAATCGGACTCGATGATTAAGCGTCGGTCACATGTCCTTGCCTAGAACGACGACTCAAAAGTAGTCTGGTAAGTCTACTATGCCCTAACCGCAGTATCCTTCAAGACAGGCGCCCCGGGAACGGGTGGGGTTGGCTTGGTGGTTAGGGCCGGTTGGACTGAGGAATGCGTGAAATGTTGGGTTAGAGCTTTTAAATCGGTTGCACTTTTGTTAGGGCACACAGCTGTTAGGGCACACAAGAGTTCCCAGTATCTCAAAACGACGAGACGGCTGTTCAACAGGGACACTTGCTCGCCAATCAGAATGGCTCTCGTACCTTCTGGGAGATATGGGCTCCGCAATCGTGGATTGTAAAAGCTTTCAAATAATGCTGCTGTAAAGAAAATTTCGGTCGTAAGCATGCTAGAAGTCATCGTCTTTACAACGATTCGACTGTTCGACTGACGCGTTCAAACGTCAGTCTTACTTTGGTGGTCTAGAATCGACCGGCCTCAAACTAGAAACCGACGCCAATACGCCTAACTTGAACCAAGATCTCTTGGGCAAAGTGGAACTACACTGGCCAATCAATGGACACTCTCGACCAATGTCCACTTTAAACCGCTCTTTCTTGCCCGGGCCTTACCTTTTTCACCTTCCCTAGGCCATCGTAATGGTCCACGACGGGCACGCTTTGGTTCACGAACGTCTTGAAGCGCTTCCGTATGCTTTCCATGTTGTCGTCGGACCGCCCGGACGACTTGCCCCGGTCTAGGAGCCGCGCCTCCATGACTTCTTCTGGGCAGTCGAAGAAGAGAACGAACTCTGGCTGGATGCCGGTCTGCAACAAAGAAGAACGGCAGGTCAAAAAAGAACTGGCTACGCACCGTCGAGAAAAAAGAAGGTCGAGAGAAGGACAGCCTCAGGGCGATCGAAGAGAATAGAATACCGGCTGCAGTTGATCGGCAGAGGAAGGCAGCAGTCAACGAAAACAACTTGTAAGAGTTGATACACGAAGGCAGGGAAAGAGGAGAGCAGAATAGAACACATCAAAGGCTGCGGGCCGATCGAAGACCGTCTCGGTGGGCAGTGCAAAGCAATCTGGCCGGGTCAGTTTGTTCTTGGTTGCCCACATCCCCTACTGCACGTCAATCCATATGAATCTGGGCAGATTGTAAAGACGAATCAAACCTCCGACACCCATCCCAATCCAACCTTCTTTCAACGCTGCCCCGTTCTACCCTTGAATCCACGCGTCAACGAGTTACGCGGATGAGACACGCTTACTTTCCCATATTGCCTCCTTTTCCAATTCTTGCGGTTGTCACAAGGCTGACCCAGATACGCGGACCAGACCTACCTCTCTTTCAAACGCGGCCCTGTTCTCGTCGTTACGCGGGAAGCCGTCGATGAGGAACTTGTTCTTGCCGCTGGCGGCCATCGCGTTTTGGAGCAGTCGCACCGTCACCTCCGAGGGCACAATTTTGCCCTCCTTGATCATGGTCGCAATCATGTCCCTGTCAAAAGATGACGTCAGCAATTGGTGAGGTGATGGGGCTTTTGCAGCAGTCGTACCGTCACCTAGGGCACAATTTTGCCCTCCTTGATCATGGTCGCAATCATGTCCCTAACAGAGGATGACGTCAGCAATTGGTGAGGTGATGGGGCATTATGCAGCAGTTATCCCGTCACCTCCGCAGAGCACAATCTTGCCTCCTTGATTGACGTAGAGAACGAGGACAAGTTCGATCAGGAAATGCAGGTCTTGCCCTCCTTGATCATCGTGGCAATCCTGTCCGTGGGAGAAAATGAAGTCAGCAATGGGTGAAAGGAACGAGGATGACGTCAGGAAATTTGGCTGGTTCTCGAAATGCACCAGTCATGCCAAGTCTTGAACGAAGCTTCTCGGGATTGGAGGATCTGTGAAAGACATATCCACTACTTGATTACAAATGGTTTGGCAGCCCATGAGGCGAAGTGGAGGAGCTTACCCATACTGAGACCCCGATTTCATCTCGGCTCTCAGCAGGTCCCCAGCGCTAAGATGCACAAAGCCGTACTCTCGAACAATATTCTCGCATTGGGTGCCCTTCCCACTTCCGGGGCCGCCTGTGCACCCAGGAAATGCGTGTCAGCGGTTTGCCCTTTTGAATTGAGAATCTAGGGAAAACGTTCAATATATTCCTTCTGCGACAGTCGACTGGAAGTCGATGTTCAGTCCTTTAAGGAATGACAAGGTATCTACTTCGAACCTGCACCCAAAGCAATGCCTCTCCGCTCTTTTGACCAGTCCATTGGAGATGAGACTGAAACATTATCGATAAGAGGTTGTTTGGCAGACAGCACTCTAATGCTTGAAAAGACCAATTCGTGATGCACTATTGGCGCTCACCTAGTACAAAGATTACAATTGGCTTCAGGGGCGACTTAGCGGGGGGCTGCTCGCCCGAAGTGGAGGCCGCATCCTGCAACAACATCTCCGATGTCATGAGCTACAGTACAAAGAGTGGCTTGTTTTCGCGCCGCAGCACGCTACGCTGACTCAAAACCCCGGGTCAATTTGGCGAGGCTTTGAGACGGTTTTCGGGTCCGGCCAAGTCGACCAGGCAGCCAGCTGGGTTGTGATGATTGTAAGGACTACCAGGCGGGGCAACAGATGCAACAGCTGCTCACGAAAATCTTTCAGGCAACAGATCCAGGCAACAGGCGCAACTGCTGCTCACGAAGATGTTTCGGAACTTTGGGGATGCAGCACAGCAGAACGAGCGAGCAAGAGCAGGGGCGGGCCCCGATCCCGGCTTGATTTGATCAGCATGGTACGTCTAAGTCAACACAAGCGGCACGTGCAATGTGATTGACCAAGGCAAATGCCTGCGAAGGGAAAAGGATGTGGGGCGTACCTCTGCTTGAACTATTGAGAGGGGAGTGGAGCACAGTGTGGTGAAACCTGCCGCTGCCAGGCCCCACGAAGCAGCCCAACCCAACTGCAAGATAGAGCCAAAATCGACTTTTGCGGGGCGCAGATTGCTACCTTACATAGGCCCCTGCCGCACGTTCGAAATAGCTTGCATCTTGCATCTTGTCAATGCTGTCCTTTCACGGTCGCTTCTTTCAACGTTGTTGCCAGGAGACCCGTCTCGATGCATGCTGCGATGCGCGCTGGGGGCAGCCGTTCTGTTCGAATGATGGAACTCACTGACAAAGCTTGTCAGAACAGACAGCTTGATTTTAACTTGATGTATAGGCCAGCACTTCCATATGCCTGACTCAGTCCAGGCAACCTCTATTATTGGGCCACTAAAGCCTTTGCATGCAATCTAAAACGGTCGCATCCTTCGAATAGAAGTGGCCGTACGATCAGATGCAATTCCCAGGACTCGTACTCAAAAAACTTCTTACCAAGCAGTAAGTTTATCTTGTCCTGTCTACATTCCTAAACTCGAATATCGAAGAAGCGAACTTGAGGTTTCACCTTGGTTCTGTGGCTGTCCTCATGGCTAGCACTGGTCAAACCAACGCAGTCCTGCGCGGTGCTCGTGCCAAGGGGATAAACTGGGGCGGCGCCCAAAGCCCCAGACAGAGCCCTCACAATCTGCATAACGGGGTTGCATAATTTGTACCACCAGGTTAAACATTTTGTACCACCAGTCTTGTTGAAAATGTGATGGTTGGATGATGAGCGGTTCGTTGATGCCCGTTAGCCTTGGCGCCCTGGTCGAAACTCCAGCGGAAGAGTGACAAAAAAAATCCTTGGAGAAATGCAGATTGCACAACGAAAGTATTCTACGATTTTAGCACCACCAAACTGATTGTGGATTGGCATTGCAGCCTCTGTTTCGGGTCGAAAATGCGCTAATAGGGGCTCTGCATTGAAATCGATGCAGACCACGAATGACTGCATCTGCAAGCTACTGCTTACGAAGCACTCTACGGTGGTGAAATATAAAGTTGTCTTGGCAACTCCGGAAAGCAGTTAGAATTGTTCACGTTGTGGATCGAGCGTTCTTTGCAAGTTTGCAGATCTAACGATCTAAATTTTCAGCAAGTGTGTCCATTTGCCTGAAAGAGCCAAGCATATGCTTTTCGCTACAGTTGATGAACACCAAGTGCCAACCCTCAGTTAACCCCAAATGAGGCATAGATTGCTTTTCACATTTCACCCAACAACACCCGAAACCCCTGAATCTTTCAATCCAAGCAGCAGCACACCTACTTTGTCTCTTTCAGGCAGGAGCTGAAAGTGGTGGACTGCATATCGCAAGGGGTGATTGGTGGCCAAGAGCCTCAATAGGCTGCATTTTTGGCCCATGAAACGGTTGCATGGCGCTAGGTGGTGCTCTTCGACAAATGCTTGTCATCCGCGTTGCAAGCAATGAACACAAGCAACCAATGAGGGTCAATGCAGATCTGTGGGCAACAACTCGGTCTTCATACAGAGAGGCCAACCACACCTTCAGATCCCCACTGGGTCCATTGCCCGCATAGACAGACCTTCTCAGCAAGGCCTGCAGCATCCGTTGAGAAGCCATCTCCACCAACAACCTGGGCTCCAATGTCGACTCTGCAAGCGCCCCTTAAACTGTAACGCAGGCTGCCTGAGCTAAACTTAGAATGCAATGCAGCCAAATGCCAAATGTCACTGCATGTTGTGCACCTCCGGAACCATTGACTTACCTCCGAGCGCGCGCGCACGCGCGGATTCACCTCTTTGAAACTAGGGTTTGCAACTTGCACCTCGCTGACACTGTCGCACCTAGCTCAGCCATCTTGCACCTGTTTCAGCTGGCACAACTTGCAGGGCGGCCTTGTTGCCGCTGGCACCAAACGCTGTGGTCGCCAGAGCTCCAAAGAGCTCTTCCAAGGAGCTCACGCAATGTTTGAGCGGCCCATCTTGCAGCGGGACAGTCCATGACGTTCGACAATCTCACTTCAATGATGTTGAGAGCTCTCTGCATGGTTGAAATATTTGAGCTCTGATAAAGTGTTGCTCACCTCTAACAAAGGTGCTGACACAGAGCTGTGCGGAGGAAGATACTTGGAAGCAACTCCCGGACTGTACATTCGAACTCCTGTTATGAGCGAGCGCCAAGATTCTGTTCTTTTGCTTTTTGTGGACTTCGAGACACCACCAGATATCTGCAACCCACGAATGACACTTTGACAGCTGCAGAAGTTCCTTTTGAGGGATTGAAAAGCGTTACAGAATGCAGACAGCTGCACGAGCTGCTCCATCAGAGCTCTAATGAGCTCCAAGAAGGAAAATGAACCGCCAGGGCCGGCAACAGCGGCAAAGTGCCAGCCCCACTCCAATCCTGTTGGAACCACCCTTGGACTTGAAGTCTGCTCATTCTGGAGATGCTTGGCCGCAACATGAGGCGCCGCAAAATTCTCATGGGAGAAGGGCGGCGAGTCCGTGCAAGGAGAATGTGTGGGTGCCGGCGGGGCGAGCGGGAGCAGGGGTGCAGGTGCAAAAGGAAGATGCTGAGGTAAGACAAGCAAGAGAGTGCCCTTCGTAATCTTTGTGACCTGATCCGAGTGTGAGGAGTGTCAGCATTGGAGCACTCAGTTAGGTGGTCAAATGGAGCAGCGTACTGGCGGTATGAATGTACGTGTGCTCTCGCCTTTTTAAAGAACCGGTTCATGGCGGAGCGAAGGTGTTAACTTAGAGCGGCAGTGGTCGAAGAAAAAGTATAAGCACTGATGACATCAACAGAGTGTGCTTCTTATATTATCTCTGATCTGAAAGGAGTCTTTGTGCGGGAACCAGGTACTTGAAGGACTATGATTCCTGTTGCACTTGTCCGTTCGTGTGTCCTCCTTGATTACTTACGTGGCGACTTTGCCAGGGATACTCAACCGCAGCCTGTTCTCCATGTGACATTGGCTGACTCCTAGGTCGATTTGAACTGAGAAACAATCTTCATCCAAGCGTTTTGCTCAAGGCAGACAACGTGGCTACTATTTCACAAGGTCTCCCACTGGCTCAAGTGTAGAGAGATCCGGTTGCCTTGAAACTGTTGGACTCTGGTGTAAGAGACTTGTCTATCAATCTGGAGACTGGCATCCACACTCGTCACTCTCCAGGCAAACTTGGTGCATGACCAACTTTGGGATCTGAGGGAACAGTCAGATGCGGGACTCATGCATTGAAAGCAAGTCGCACTTCACACCTCCTGAGTTGGCACTTGAGCAGTACGATCCAGAAACAGAGCGCCACTCCTGCATTCGCAGAACCAGGAAAACAGCAAGTTTCTCAAGCACATTGACGGACGAGGTTCGCCAAAGTCACTGCGAGAGCTGGTGGGGAACAGCACCCCAGCTCTGCAGATACACATCACTTCCCCTGGCAAAGCACGCGAGGCGCAACCGGCGATCGGGCCAGCCGGGCAGTCAAAGGATGGCGGAGCGGAACGGTTGGAGGAAAGTGGGGGTGAGACATATTCGCTTGGCAGTTTCCTCATGGTAAACCGCTGCTTAGCAAGAAGGGCAGGAACATCTTCAGCTCGACACATGGCCTTTGCGCTGACGTTGTTTACTTCGCTACTGAGCACAAAAGGCAGGAACATTCGCAGGAGCTGAGCTCTTTATTTGCAAATCATGCGTCGACCAGAGCAAAGTCGGTTTAGGAATCCTCCGCATGGCAGGCCCTCTTGTACATGTTTTTCCACGAACATTGCAGCCCGAAGATGAAAGCAACCACAGCCAGACCCGCTTGTCACCATCCCTCGAGATGGTCTTCTGAGCACAGTGTCGACACATCGTGGCGGTATTTCGAACAACGAAACGAACAAACGTAACAAAGCATTTTTGAATCCTTGTTTGCAGCTATGCTCCCAGTGTTTGCCGAGTTTCGGCTCCCCTCTGCGCGTCGGGGGGGCACTCCTGAAATGGGAGCGGTGAGGGGTTCTGCGTCGCTCGCTAGACCGCTCAGCAGTGGCCGAATTATCTTCGGGGGAAGTCGTCCAGTTAGTAGGCAGGATGGTCTCCGGCCTTCCACCGAACGCTCGGACTTCGGACGCGGCTTACCGTCGTTGGACGCGAAGAAGCAACTCAAATCTGCGCGGGTTGCGGACGGGCTCCGAGCAGAACTCGGACGGAATATGGACCGAGTTCCGGCAAACTCCGGACGGATCCTGGCGGACTCCGAGCCGGATTCGGACACGGACTTGGACAGAGAGGTCGCCGAGGGCTTCAGACGGCGTCCGAACACGCGGCGAACTCCTGAGTTTGTGTCTGGCAGAAACACCTCGGACAGCCAGGAGTCGTCACTTGGCGGACCCTCGCCGGAAACCCTCCCACCATACAGCCGTCGGAACACAAGCCCGTTGGTCCGATCGCGATCCAGCCCGCATCGGGCCCGAAGTGCGGTAAACATTTACCCCATTAGTCTCGAGCAATGCCCCACGAGTCGATGGGCCATCGATTCCGAGACGGACTCCGCTTTCGACGAGAATCTGGCCCGGATCGCGTCGCTCGTCCGGAGGAGTCGACCGGCCACTTCGCTAGGGTTGGCGCCTAAGGCCCAAAGTGCCCGGGGAAGCCCTCACCCGGGCATGCACAGCAGCGAGATTTGGGGCAGCTTGAACGAGCGCGCGCGGAAAGTCGCGGCGGAAAGCGCGGAGGAGCTGCAGAAGAGGCGGCGCCGGAGGTCGAGTCCCGAGAAGCACTCGGAAGGATTCGCACCCAAGGTGAGAAGCTAGAGGGTGCTTGGTGCGAGGCCCTTGACCGGTGGTCCGCTTGGCAGTAGACTTCGTCAGGAATCTGCTTTTCACCCTTTTGACTCCCAAGTGTAGGGCTCAATAGTGGGCGTGTTTGTCGACCTTTCGTTCGTGAACCACCTTCGGATCATTTCTAGATGACAGATGAGTCGCCGCCAGCAATATCAACCGGCCTGGCTGCTTTCGCCCCAGACTGTTCCTCTGATTGATCGATGCACGATCAGAATAGTTTGTTGCGATCCAATAGAATCTAGACTTGATTTGAATAATAGTGTCTAGAGTTATCACGTTTACTAAGGTTACTTCTCGCAGGTTCGAGCGTCGTCCGCGCCTCTGTGGAACCCCCGCGTCACGCGACATCGGCCTGACGCGGCCCCGGCGAATGGCGACGCGCCAGGTGGCAGGCAGTCGAGCCTGTGGGCGTTCCACCCGCCCGCGGACCAGGCGCTGAGGAACGCGCGCAGCGCGGCCGCGGCGCGGCTGCGACAGGACATCGAGTTATATAGGGAGAACAGCTTCCAGCGGGAGATGCTGCAGCAGCGAGTTGGTGAGCATACCTCAATGCGCTTGCTCTGACGAGCCCCCTTTTCTGCATTCTCAGACTCTACATTGTGAAAATCTGTGTGGAACAGAGGGGCATTGAGCTCGGCTGCCAGCGGGAGACACTATACAGTGAGTTGGTGAGGCGTGCCTTCCGTTTGCTTGCTCTGACGATTGTCAAATCCTTACGATCGCTTTAGGGGCTCGAATTCGTGAAGCCCTTTCAGTCCCGGGTTCGTAGAACCTTGTTTGCCATCGATGTGAACGAGAGACGGCTGCAAGCCGTAGGGTTTAAATCGGCTGACCGGACTTTCTGTTTCAGTATATTGAAACGTCAGATTCGTAAAGCACTCTCCTGATGTGCTGGAACAATCACCTCGCAGCTTTCTCCCAGCCTCTCGCCGCAGTCGTCTTCTCAGCATCTTTACGTTTATACGATGCATCGTCTTCTTCCAAGCTTCCTATGGATATCTTACCCCTTTCCTTCCCAAGTTACGGTGTTTTCGAAGGTTTTGCGCGGTGTTCGAGCAGTGCAGCCAGTGCGTCAACTATGCCACCCTCTTCTTTCAAGTCCCAACTTCCGGCACCTGATCTTAGACCGTCAATTGGCTGATTGCGTACTTGGAAAAGAATGGCTTTCAAGGGTGGCAGGTTGACGCCAGAAGCTCTCACTAGAGCACATCCGTTACGCCTAATGTTTCTAATCATACAGAAGGCTTAAATGCAGTCACGCCTTGTAATGCAGATAGTCACAGGGAAGAAGCGCTACAGCAGCGGCGACAGCTGGTGGAGGCGACGGGCGATTTGCTAGAGCGGAACAAGTCGAACCTGGAGCAACACCGGGCGGAAGAGCGGAACCGGCGGATCCTGGAACGCGCGCAAGCGCACCAGGAGCGATGGACCGCGATCGTGGAGCGCCACGTGGACAATCAACGGCGGGAGGAGGACGCACGTGACGAGTTGATACTGCTGCTGTCGAAAGAGGAAGAGGTGGGTGTCTTTCAACTCTGAGCAAGCTGAACAAAGTCGTGCAAGCCACGTTTCTTTCTTATAACTATGTTATAAGAGGCTTCAAGTGGTGCTTCTTCTTAAGAATGGTTCAAAGCATGTAACTTTCGATCATGGGGTAAGAATGACGACTTAAAAGACGCTTCAAATAGTGATCTCCACTGTCCTTTTCACACGCCATTTCTGGGTTCGAGTCCGTCACTCTAGTGACGGTTATCCGGTGCTATCCGTACCGTTCAGGTCGCTTAGAAGTCCGGTCCCCAGAATTCTTGTCCTGAATCGCCTCTTCATTTGGCGCAAACCATCCCCATAAACACGTCTTTTGCTTTTTCAGGAGGACCGGAAGGCCGAAGCGAAGGAGCGCCTTCGACTTTTCAAGATAGAAAGGTGCGTGGCCCTTTCTGATATACTCAATTCCTACCTAGGAGTCTCCCTTCTCTTTGCTCTGCATCCTGTCGTCCTTTCTGCTTCTCTCACATTAACCTCTACGTCTCGACGTAGGTTTTTTGGCTTGTGTATCGCATGCACCCCGAGACCGTAGGCCTAGGTTCCGCCGGAAAAGCAGCTGCGGAAGAAGAACCCAGCGGATCCCGCGGGAACAGGATGGCCTTTCCCTCGTGGTCAAGTTTCATAAGATCGGTCTGAAAGCCGTGTTGGATAACTTACCATGCAATCAGGAACTTAACCTGTTATTTATTTCTGATCAGGGCTTCCTGCCGTCCAAACGACGATTGACGGAGGCTCCTCAAAGCCCGACTCGTGAATCTCCTTGCTTGTGGATGCCCCTTCTGCTTCCGCGTCCTTTTGTTTGGCCAACAAGTTCGCAAGACGTTTCCGACTCGTATCTGAGACCGTCACTCATAACTCTCTTGTAATGTCTCAACCCGTACCTTTGTAGAAAGCTCCAAACCCTGTTAAACGGCGTTGACGATCGGTCCCGCACTCTTTTGCAATCAGCACCCTGATTCCGTGGACCTCAAAGGTAGTCGGACCGAATTCCTCGATGTTCTCAAGTCACTGGATCTTACTCGTTTTCCTCAGGGGTCTCCATACCCATACAGACGAAGCTCACGCACAGTCAAAGGTACATCGCCCTCCACACGGAGAGACGCGACCCCAAAACTAAGATGCTCAAACCCAGGATCTATTGTTTGAATCCTTAGGGCCACGACCTTATACCCCAGAACCACAGTCCTAGAAATTCAGAGTTAGAATCCTGAATTACGAAATCCTGGCAGTGGACGACCCTGGTCGCAACCCGAGGCCTTCTCCAGCTGCTGGGCCGAGACGGTGAACTTTCAACCCCAGATCTAAGATCCGAACCCTAAACCTCTATCCAAACCTGAACCTTAAACCCCAAACCCCAAACCCCTATCCTGGCAGGCACCTCTGGTAGACGAAGCTCGTTGCGCTCGGCGGCCGGCTCCAGCTGCTGGCGAAACGGTGAAGCGTCCAAAAGACTCAATCTCTGGGCCAAAATCTTAAACCCCAAAATCGAGCTCAAACTCCAGCACCATTGAAAAGCCTAAACCCTCAACCCTGGCAGGCGCCGGTGGTGGACCACGCTCGTCGCGCTCGGCGGCCGGCTCCAGCTTCTAGCGGAGACGGTAAAGCTTCAAGTTCCCCATTCAAAAACCGAAACTCTGGATTCCAATCCTAAACCCCAAACAATAAACCCTGAACCTCAAACCCTGGCAGGCGCCGCTGGTGGACGACGCTGGTCGCGCTCGGCGGCCGGCTGCAGTTGCTGGCCGAGACGGTGAAGGCGCAGCGCGAGATCCGGTTGCGCGAGCAGCGGCGCCTCGCGGCCGCGCTGTACATCCAGGACTGGTTCCGGCGGGTGCGCAAGGTGCTCATCTGGAAGCGGCAGAACGCAGCGGCGCGGAAGATCCAACGGTGCGTACCGGAACTCCTTCTAAGGGACGGTGACTTCGCAAAGAAACACGCCGAAGTTCTTTCAATTTGAAGTCTGCATATGGCTCTGGAGTGCGGAAGGTGCTCATCCGGAAGCGGCAGAACGCGGAAAATCCAACGGTGCGTACCGTAATTGCCTTGCAGAGGCCGGTATCGGCATTACAAAGCCGACTTTCTGTTGATGTTCTGTACTAGAAGTCTGCATGCGACTTTGAGGATAATCTCCAAAATCTGGAACCGGCGGGTGCGCAAGGTCCTCATTGGGGAAGCGGCAGAACGCAGCAGCGCGCAAAATCCAACGGTGCGTACTGTGATTGCCTCCCAGAGGCCGTGCTTTGCTTAAGAAGCGGGATTTTGATTGAATCTCTTAGCTAGTTCCAACGACTTCCGATGTTGGAACCGGCGAGTGCTGAATGTCATCATCTGGAGCGGCAAAACGCGGCGGCCCCTAAAATCCAGCGCTACGTATCGGGATTGCCTCTCAGAGGCCGTAATCTTGAACAAAAGACTCCGAAGTTCGTTTGTTTCAAAGTCTGCATACGACTCTGGATATTGGGACCGGTGGGTGCGAAAGGTCCTCATCCGGAAGCGGCAGAACGCGGCTGCCCGAAAAATTCAGCTGTGCTACCGTAAATTGCCTATCAGAAGCCATGATTTTGCACAGAAAGAAGCCGAAGTTCTTCTGATTAGAAGTCTGCATATGACTTTGGAGATTGGAACCGGTGGGTGTGGAAGGTGCTATCTGAAAGCGGCAGAATGCGGCGGGCAGGAAGATTTAACGGTGCGCCCCCGACAATCTCTTAGAGGCCGGGTTTTTCACTTTGGAAAGCCGAATCTCTGTTGAAATTCTGAAGTGAAAGCCAGCATGCGACTTCGGAACTATGGAGCCGCCGGTGCGGAAGATCCTGGTTTTGTTGCTAGAAGAGTGTTGGGGGCTCCAACGCAAAGTACACTCAGATCTTTTCCGCTGCATGAGCTGAGGACGGGCGGCGAAGCGAAAGCAAAAGAAAGGGAGACTGAAGTAAAAAGCAAACCAACGAAAGACACGAGAGAAGAGGAAGCAACATGTTAGGATGCTGATTATTACATCCTTGTTCTTCAGGTTCACCCGGGACGTCGTCTTCGCCCAGAAGGATCGGCGGCGTAAGCGGTACGCAGGCCTGATTGCCATGTTTTTGGGCGACCTCCAAAGGTCCCAGGCGCTCATGCTTGCGTTCCGGACGTTCCGGCAAAGGGGTGAGCCGCTGCCGTTCCGTTTCTGTCACCGCTTCTGTTCATCTTTGTTTCTTTTCAAGACTACTTCCCTCTCTTTTCTGTTCAGATCTTGTCGCGGTCCATTCTTGGCCATCGTTTAAAAATCTCCATCGCAGATTGGCAGATGAAGGAGGGAGCGCGGCCGGCGCAATCAAAGCTCATTCTTTTCAGAATCACGCTGATGGATCAGAAACCCGCCTGAATTGAGCTGACCACCCACTAGACCCTAGCTAAACCCCTTCCGTTCCTCAACAGTGATAACATTCCAGCGCCTCGTGGGGCGCGGCCGGCGCAACTAACGCTGACTCTTGTCAAGACCATGCTTTAACGGGAGCTAAACCCAGCATGATTTGAGCTGACCACTCATTAACCTCCAGCTAAACCCGTATTCGTTCCTTCACAGTAATGACGATCCAGCGCGTCGTGGGGAGCGGCCGGCGCAACCGACTCTAAATCATGTCAAGTTTACGCACGAGATGCGTAAAATCCCGCCTGATTTTGAGCTGACCACGCACTAAACCCCAGCTAAACCCGTTTTCTCTCCTCCACAGTGATGACGATCCAACGCGTCGTGGTGCTGCGCACTTTGCGCATCCGGGCGCAGGTCTCCCTGGTGCTGCGCCAGTGGGAGGTCGCCGAGGAGAACTGGATCAAGACTCACGAGCTCGCTGAGCTTCAGGCGACCACGAAAACGCCCGCGCGCAGCCGCCGCGTTACGCGCGCGTCTGGCGCGGCCGCGGTCGCGGCCGCGGACGGCCCGCGCTCGGCCGCGTCCTCGGACCCAGACACCCGGCGGTCGAACACGGGGGATGGCGCGCGCGCGAGCGTGGTTCCGCCGGAACCGGACGGCAAGCGGAAGTCGGTTCAAATCGCGGACGGCCGACGCTCGACCATAAGCGGGAATATGCCGAGCGCGGACGTCCGGCGGGCGAGTGCGGCCCCGGTTTCAAAACTGCCGTCGAGCCGCACCTCTATTGCGGACAAGTGAGTGGGGATCGACCTTTCGTACTCCGGTCTGGTCGCTGCCTTGCAGCTAGTACGCCCGGGGACCCAATCCTTGCAATGTAAACGATAGGCGTTGCGCGCATCGAAACCTGTTTGAGCACACGTGTTTTAATGGCCAGATTGCAATCACCGTTACACTTGTGAAAGCTGTGTGATGATTCCGGTCCGGTTCGTGCCTTCATTTTCAATCGTCCATGTCGTACATTCCCAAAGTACCATTTGTATAAAAATAACACGGATCCTCCGAGTTTGTCCGTTGTGTTTTGAATGTACTTTACTTTTGTTTTGCCCTTTCTTCTTCGCCCCTTACTGCTGCAAAAGCAGTCGTCTTCTTTGCTTGTCTTCATCTATCCCGGTCTTTTCTCGTGTCCTTGTCGCCTGATTGCTAGACGCCCTTTCCCAACGTTGCAGAGCCCCCAGAGAATCGTCAAAAGAAACGCTCGCCACAGTGAGCCCCGGTAGTGAGCACCGCCCTCTTGTGTCGTCCCTTCGCTCCGTTACCCTGCTAATTGCTTGCTTACGAAGCGCCCAAAAGCAACAGTAAGCGCCGGTAGAAGCACCGGGCTTCCTGCGGTTAATTTGGCTCCCCTAATGCCGTCTTTCTTCTGCTTAGAGTGGGCGTCCGGGTCTGCCTGACGCCTGCCGGTGCCTCCAACGGCGTCACAATCCAACGGTCTCAATCGCGGACGGCGGTTTTGCGAGGGTCATGGCACCGTGTAGTCGGCTTTGTCAAAGCATGCTACGCTCACTTTTCAGATACCCTCATACCCCCAAAATTGCAGAACCCTGTTAACCTCAAATTCCTTAACGGAATCACCCGGTGCATTGAACGCAGGACCCTGGGGAGATTTTCCGCCAAGGGCAAACCCGCCAAGGTCGACCCCGGCGAAAGGCACCGGGCGCGCTTTTCGAGCTTACGAACCGTCACCTTCTTGTGGGCTTTCTCTGGAATCGAGCCCTTCTTTCCTCCTGCTCACGGAATCCTTCGGTGTATGAACGCAGGACTTTGGGAAGGATCCCCGTCAAGGGCAAACCCGCCAAGGTCGACCCCGGGGAAAGGCACCGGGCGCTCTTCGACCTTCGGGACGGCGTTCTGGGCCCTGAGTACGTTTCGTCCGGCGTCCACGTTCCCCCGCACATACAGGAACAGGTCACCAAAGATTTCTGTATGCGGAAGCGGCGCGCCCACGTGAAAGTCCTGGAGGCGTACAAACTAGAGCGGGCGGAGCAGCAGCGCGCGGCGCGCGACGGGGAGATGATGGCGCGCGCGAAGCTAGTGATGCAGGGGAAGGGGACCGCGCGGAAGGGAGCGGAGAGCGCGCCCGTGGAGGCAAGTAGCGCACACCTTGCTTGCTTTGGAACGTTTACAATCGTAGGCACAGTCTCCGCACTCTTAAGAAGCAATCTATGACAAGTTGAGACAGAATCACACGGCCAAGCGGGCAAACGCGTCACAGATGACCAAACCGGGGCCGCTGACAACGTCATGTCCTTTCCTCCTGCGAGCGAAAGGGCCGGTTCATTCCCTTGGGGCTCGAATGCTCGCGGCTTCTGTTGAAATCCGGATACACCCAATCTCACGCCCTTGCGCACCAATTGGTTTGCAGGCGAAGCGACCGGCGTTCCCTCCCCGTTTGCGCGTCCTCGCCACGCGCCAAGAGCTGCACGAGATGATGGTCGAAGGCCTAGCCAAGGCAGCGATCGAGGGCCTCGCAGCAAATCTGCCCGGGGACTCCCTTCCGGTCTCCGAGTCCGGAACGCCACTGGTAGGAAGCACCCCGGCAGGATCGAAAAGGTCGTCGGGCGGTTCGCGGCGCGGCACGCGAGAAGCGCAGGTGAATAAACTGAGTAGTTGAAAGCCTTGGTCTGTGAGATCAAGATACAAGGCTTTGTATTTTAGGTTCGAAAGATTCGCTCCAAGGGATCTCTATCTTCTCTTTGTCTTAGGCCTATGCTGAATCAGCCCATTCCCCGTGCTGGAATAATGTAGATTCTCTTAGACTGATAGTCAACATGCTCCACACTTATACCCACCCTATACAACGAAGTAACCTCGCCCGTCTCCCGGGAGTGACCTACTGTACATCTTTTTGCGTTGAACCTGCAACCTTCGAAAGGCCTTAATTTCACTATTTCGATTGCAACCTTGAACAGTCCGAAGGGCAGGAAAATTCAATCCAACGACCCAAAATCAGGTACCAAACGTCGGGACTCGAGAAAGAGGGCGGCAACCTAACGCATACAGCTGTTATGCAACATACCCGTAAATCAATGTAAACTCGATTCTCCTCGCAGGTCGCGGCCCCGGTACGAACCGCCCCCGGCGGTTCGCGGCGGGGCACCCGGGAGGTAACTATGATGGCGGCGATTCACGAGGCTGCGGACGGAGACTCGGCCCGGGCTGTGCCCATGGTGCTGAATCTGGCGGGAGCCGCCCTGGAGTCGGGCGGTACGACTCGAACTAGAAGGGCGGGAAGGCAGGGCACGAACTCGAAGAAGGTGGTGACGTGGGGTACGGAGGCGAGCGGCGCGTCCCACTCCACGGTGCCAGAGGAGGAGGCGCCTTCTTGAAATGATGCCTGAGCGGTTTAGTGGATGAGGAGGACGTATGATAGGTATAACAAAGTCAAGCAGACCGCGAGGAGTCAGAGCAAGCGGCAAATGCCGCTGTCCAACGTGCTTGCCAGCTGGCCGGTTTCGTTCATAGGTGATCGGATTGGAACGCTAATTTTAGATCTTGCATTGAATTTAGCTTGCACGAAGGTAGATCAGTCACGACATTTCGTTTGAAAGACGCCAAGGTGCAGGTTCAATTGCAAGGGCAGAGCGGCATCCCACCCTCAGGTGTTTGATGGTTGAGATAATCTCGAGTTCCATTTGTTGCCTTTGCCCCCCCCTCATATAGCTAGGTTTCCTTTGCATGCAAATCAAGCAGATGACAGTCACTGCCTACCACACTAACGCTTGCCTGCCATGGTGGTCAAGCTTAAGCATGCCGTAATCATGTAATGATGTCGATCATGAGCCTGTGCTTATTCATGGATGGCCGTCGATCGGGCTCGACTCGCGCACGCGGTGCACTGACATGGCATGGGCCGCCGGCCCTGCAGCCCACTGATGTCACTGTGTAGGATACAACGGGATCACTGCAATATGTACGTCGTGCCATAGCAAATAAAGCATGTGCATCGACGGTCACGCACCGGAACAAATGGCACGTGCTGGTATACCCGGCCCGGCTGAAGCTGGCCGGGCTGAATTGCTCCTTATTCAATAATAAACGGAGCAACCAATGGACGGTGATCTACGATCATTGAGTAGATGTAAGTGGAAGCATATCGATCGATCAGTGTGAATTATAAGAGCGAGTCGGACGGCCCTTGATTGTTCAATGTTGCCTGAGATTCTTAGCAGGCTACCCATCCAATTTTTATCAGTGTTCGAGTTCCTGGAATCATTGGTTATACTAAGTATAAGGTGTCAATTGCATTAGTCGCATGTTGCTGCAGCATGATATGCGCTCTTATATAATGTAAGCTCTGATTAGACATGTGCATGACTCTATTTTGTCGCCGTCCTGTGAACGTACATGATCACTTTTGTGCAATCAACGAGCATGCATGGCCGCATGGTGGCCGGGGGTGGTGGCCACACACTTTCTAGGAAGCCGTTCAACTTGGACGCATCGTCCTTGATATTAAACATTTAGCAGCCAATTTTCTTCATGGCAAGTACTTAAAAGAAAGAGATGACGAAAGTTATATGACGAGAGAAGCGTGGGCTTGTCGTGTTTAGAAACCTTCCCAAAATGTGCGTGCCATCAGCTGTGCAAGATATTATCAAAGGCAACCCTGGCGAGCAATGATGTTATCCAGAACAGCACTGTCTTTGGCATCTGGTAATGTGATCGCCCCTCTCAGATCATCCAAAGAGTCTATCGCACCGTACACATTGCCTACGTTACCTTGCGAGCCGCTGGAACGTTTGTTGACCTTCGTCGTCCATTCTTGCAAAGAGCGAGTGCGGTAGTGGTTCAGCCTCGCAGGCGAGAGGATGCTCCTTTTGGAGAAGGGTCCGACCTCCATCTCCTCCCCTGCATTGCGTGTAGGAAGGGAAACTCATTGACCGCTTCATGATCTGACAAAAGATGAAAGACTTTGTATCTATTTGTTGCCACCTTCCAGTGAAACGCTTTCAGGAACCTTGAAGCGCCCTCGCTAGCAGGTTCGGGCTGACCACAAAAGTGGTCTGATCCAAAGGAGCTCTGACATATATGCAGATTTCAAGAGTCATGGTCGTGTTTTCAACTCAGAAGCGAGGTTTGAATCCTCAGGCTGTTTTTGCCTTTGCCAACGCAGAACTCGCCTCCAATCTACCGCACCCATTTTGCAACAGCTAAAGTAGCCAGTTTCATCGTCTGCAAAGCAAACTTTGAGCACAAAGTGCAAGACAACTGGAGGACAGCGCCTCGTTCCTTGCTGTAACACGTTGCGCCACCCTTCAAAGACGCTCATGTGCTGTCAGTCCCTACAAGTCAACTAGTTTGTGCGAGACGCCAGAACCGAAAACCCCCTTACCTGCGGCATCAAACTGCCCCCACCCGGGTTTCAAGCTCGCAAAGTGGGCGTGCGTCACGAGTTCCGCACTCGTCGCCTCCACTCGCACAAACACCTTCACGTGGTGATGTCCGTCCCCCCCCTCCTGGGAGAAAGTGTACGGCATGTCGACACTCTGAAACGCCGGCGTGGGGAGCGCTACTCTTGCTGACGTCATCATTGAACCCCACCGACCCCACTCTCTTCCCCGCCTGCAGTCCGCATCCCCCGTTTTCGACCGAGTCTAAAACCTCGTTCTCTGAGAGGTTGCACCCCCCCTTTTTGGACAACTTGGACAAATAGCCATCCAGAGTTTGGCTGGGGTTGTCTGTGAAGACCAGAAGCTCGTCAACATCAAGGTAACCCAACCAGGTTACGCCTGTCGACGATAACCGCCTGTAACAGTCCTGGTACGCCCCTACCTGGATCTGCCCATCGTATGTGCTGTTGACTTCTTCCCCCCAATCTACGTACTCAACAAAAGGCGCATAGCGCTTCGCTATTGTCTGAGTGTCGTCCGAACTTCCGTGATCGTAGAGAACTATCTTCCTGGCCCCCAGGTAATAGTAGTAGTGAAACCACTCTGCTAAAAAGCGGCCTTCGTCTCTTGCAATGACACACATGGCGACGCCCCCTGCGAGCGCGCCTTCCAGAGAGTATTTCAAGAGGTCTGGTTTGCATTGAGGAAGGAGAATGGGATCTGGTGGCCCGTGAGGAACAAAGCTGACTGGCTGGTTATCAGCTGGGTTAGCCACCCAGCTCGCCCATGCTAACCCAGATTCTAACACTGGCAACAAACCTGGGTTGACACTTTCTGGTCGGTGTTTAAAAACTCCCTGGATTCTAGGTGGAGCGTTTCGTTGTTCCACTCTTGGAGCACAGCGTTGGCATGCTCCCATCCCTCCCGCCCGTGCGGGATCTCTCCCTCCGCTAGTTTGCTCCATTCCCTCTCACCAATCAGTGGTTGAGAGTTCTCACTCCTGCCGGTCAACGGCTGGGATATTATGCTCTTGCCAATGGATGGCTGATAATTCTCAGCTCGTGCTCTTGTTAACAGAAGCGGATCTTTCTTCAAAGAAACAAACGGCGTCTGCAGAAGAGTGAACACTGCTGTCTCATCTCTGGTACAGAGCAAGCTGGACAAAAGGGAGGTAACTCCAACAAGAGCAATGAATGAGATGATGCTCAGTTGTATGAGTCTGAACTCAGAAGAGACTGCGCCCGCCGCCCCCCCGCTCCTTTCCTTATAGAGTTTCATCTGATCGAACACCCTTTGATCAGACGCTGCGTCTGGCTAAGAAAGCCTGCTCTGATTAGCAGTAGCCGCGCGGCAAGGCCCTGCACATGTGTGTGTTGGCGCGTGTATTGACTACCGTATCCTGATTAGGTAGGTTGTAGCTTTCACATGCCAATGGTCCAATGGGGTACACTACTAAGGTAGTCCTAGTAGTGTGTAGTACCTGGGTCCTGGTCCTGACTCCTGACTGGAATCATCTGTCGATCATCTCAGCAAGCTGCTTTCCTAAGGCTAGAGCCTAGCGCCTGCCACTGGCAGCGTACCTACCTACCTATATGTAGTAGTTTGAAGGCTTGAGCTCTTGATGAAAGAAGAATGGTAGGAAGTATTATAGGTAGTCCTACCTGCCTACCGTTGTATCGGTAGGTTCCCTATCAAAGCCTGAAGAAACTCTTCAAGTTTTAATTTGGTAGGTACTCGCAGAAGGGCCTCATCGGCGACATCTTAACCCTGGAGACCTACTTTGAAAGTCGCCCTGCAGGACTGCTCGGTTCCAAAATCGCAGCGACCGGAGATATCACTTGGTGCCGTGGTATGTCGCCACTTCATGCGGGTGGCGGTACACATTTGAAATTCAAAATTTGAAATTGTCGAGGGGGGTTGACCTTCGGGGCAGAGCATCCTGCCGTTCGATCGACAACTGAATTCGGATTCATCGACGACATACCACAGATAGAACAACGTTCGCGGCCGGGGGCCGAATCTGATCATCATATAAACCCTGCCGAGATGACGCGCCGGCGCGGCGCGGCGCGGCGCGGCGCGTCCCGGGGGCCGGTGACGTACTCGTACGCGTACATGCATCCTGCTAATTCTTGGACCTTAGAACCCTGGGCCTTGCCGCCTTTCTGTGCAGCCTCGAGCTTCATGATCCTCAGGGCATCATTCTCGTCAATACAAGCTGGACAACTAATGACCGCAGCTCATATCGCACCTCGTACATTGGATGGTATATGCTGACAAAGATGCGCATTGAACTTTCCAGGAACCAGCACTGCTGGCCAGCTTCTTCTCACCTTTGCATTTGACGCAATCCGCATGAGCATGGCGCAGGTACGAGCACAAACGGGGACGACGTGAGCTTCATTTTCGTAAACGGGCAGCGGCAGCAGCAAGCTTCCGGGCTAGTAGCACCTTCAAACTGCTCGCTGGTGGTGTAAAAAGGTCGAAAGAGATCTGCCAAAAACTTGACATTAGAGATGATTGTAAGGCCAGGAGTGTGGTCTAGTGCAGATTCCCGCAGCAGCTATGTTGAACTTCTAGTCCAAGTTTGCCGGCAGGCAATCAGCACAATACGTGGCAAGGGCGCGGCCATTAGTCTTATCTGGACCATCTGGACCATTTCTTACGATCTTCAAGGTTGACGGACTCCTCTCGCGCATCATTCTGGCTGTGAATTTGCACAATCGACGGCCATCAGTTTTGCGGCTTTCGTATCCTCGGACTGAGAGTTGACTACGAGGATCTCGATTCGCCAGCTAGCTGGCGCGCTGCCAATATTGATGCATATCTGGCAGGCCACTTTTCGGCACCGCCGCCTCGTCTTGTAAGTTTGTTCTTTCACTAAAGCGGGGGTGCACGGAGGCATCCGCAAACTCGCAGTTCGACATCAGTCTGACCAACGCGGACTAGACAAGCGGGGCTTCAGCAATCCGGACACGGCTATCACCTGCTGACTCAAGCTCCGGATTGCATCATGAACCGGAGGGGCAACGGAGCGGCTTCCATATGCTGCTGCGGATCGTCGAAGCCCTTTTTCAGCCTACAATCTAAGACCTTATACGACCTTGGGGGGGATTGCTTGGCCCGCGAGGAGTGGCACCCCTAGGTCGTAGGTCGCAAAGATCCTCGGAGCTGGGCGAGTAATCTGAAAGAATATGTAAAAACCAGCGAAGTTTTTGAGGCTCTCAGGGCCTGTGGCAGTGCGTTTGATATCGATGACGCCTCCCAAACAAACAAATTAAAGACAGCCCGCTCGAACCATTCTCGTGGCTGTAACACGTCTGCTTATCTCGTCGAAGTAAACGCGTAGCAACCATCGATGCAAGCCTAATGCTCTGAATGCACTGGACTCTGGTGCGCCGCCGGAGTCCCGGAAACTTTCTCAGTACATCGGTGCAAGGACGTTGAAGCCGCAAACGTTAAACCATTTAAGAGCGATTCGAGTTAAGCAGCTGAGAGTTGTCATTGAACACTTCCTGCAGGGAAGTAGGCTGTTTACAAGCCATCAGTCTTCGGATGAGTCGTCGCTATTAGCGAAAATTATTGTGCACAACTTTGCCAACCTTCTGCATTCTATCTGCCCACTTCCCATCAGCTTCCCTTCGATCTTCGTCAGGCCGTGCGCGTAAGCAAGGTGCCACATAAAAGCCGTTTGGAACCGCCGCCCCACGTTTTTGCAAGATGGCGCCGGCGTTGAAGTCGTTCCTGATTATTCTCTTCGGCCTACTCTGCCTGGTTCTGCAGAATGCAGAGGTGAGGGAAAAGCCGGCAACCAAATCTTCCTTTGAAACGGATACTTACCACTGCGCAAAGGTGTTTTCCTAGCTTTGCCTCCTTCCTTGACTTTGCTCTTCGATTTGCTCCTCGCGTAGGGATTGGCCCAAAGAAAACCCGCCCAACAACTGGCGCATGCAATCCAAAAAAATGACCATCAGTTTGTCCGTAAGGAAGTGCACGCGTCAAAGCTGGTGAAAACTATGTCGGCAGAATTGCCAACTTGCTTGGACCACCGGAATCTACATGCACATATGTGTTTCTTGCTGCTCCTTTAGCCGATTGAACATCCGAGAGTCCTGGTATGCTTTTGAGTATCAAATTGTTTGTATTTCAAAAGTTTTTTGGAAAGAGCTATTGCGGCTGACACCGTGTGTCAGCGAATCAAATAAAAGTCTTCTTGCCAGGATAAGCAGCCGTCGTGCCGCCTTCGATATCAAAAGTGTTATTCTATCTGCCGCTCCCTACAGGAAAAGAAAATGAGGAAGCACTGACACTCTCGCCCTTTTGAGTTCAGGTTTTTGCAACCGCTTTGGGGCAGAACTCCGGCTACGTTGTTCCGGGGACGGAACTTCAGTTCCGTGGCGAAACAACCACAGTCGCCCACCGGAAGCTGATGCAGACTCCGTCACCAATGCAAACGCTAGGTAAATAATGAACGAGCTACACAAAACTTCTCGAGCTCAGATAATACAATGCCTCTATACACTGTACCTAAAAAAAATCTAATGTATCTAAAAACCTTCAGATAGAGTGATATGAAGACGGTGGACTTTGAGTTGAATTGCCAAAAACTCTTGCAGGTAAGTCGAGAGACTCGGGTCTGTTTCTAGCTCAAACCGACTCTGCATCAAGTGGGCCAGCAAGAGCAAGTTATTCTTCAGAGACTACGTCTTCGTGGTTCTTGGTCCAAAGACCGAAGCTCGAAACTTGCACGTCTCGAGCCAGATGATGACAAAGCTCTAATGCAAATCACTTCGACTAATCTGGTCTCCGACTCAGCTCGGCCCATTAGCGCAGCAACTTTAGTTCGGATGCTGACTTTATATTTTTTGGGCTTAACCCCGGGTCAACATCTCTACCTGCAGGTACGGTCGCATCCATGTGCGCGCCTGACGATTCGCTTTCGAACCCGCTGACCCGCGTGTACTGCTACTACAATGTGACAATCGGCGGTGTCCCCTCCACGTCATTAGCGGCCTGCACGTACAACGCAACCGGTGGTCTCCTTCCGATTCCTACGGCCAATGTTTCTAGAGCCACCCCACCAGTACCCAAAGTCTCCTGCGCAGGTGAGAAAAGGCGACGTTTCGTTTTTGAGCAAGTTCAAAACTCATTTTGACCCGTGTAATGAAAGCGGACGGACCGGTTCTCATCGAAGTTTGGCTTAGGAGGATCAAGAGGTTCTGCAGAGAGACGAAAGCAGGGGACCTGGGCTTTCTACAAGCGATGAATTCGGAACCTAACCCAGCCAATCAGGATAGAATAGAGATTGTGAATGAAGAAAGAAAACCGTAATGAACGAATTGGAGAGTCCCTTCGGTCCACCCAGAATTTCTCAAATGGTACAATGAAAGAAGAGTTGAAGGTTGTGATGGAAGCTTGTTGCAGGCCTAGGACATTTGGCACTCCACAATCTCCAATCTCCGTAGGGTTACCTTACAAAAGTTTGACTTAAATTCAGGGGTTTCAAATGGCGCTGTGCATGGCCCTTTAGAGTGCTTGCAGTGCCGCTTTTGGCAGAGATGCAAATACTCAACGCTTTGTTCGCTTCTTTGTAGGTTTGTCCTCTAGCATTATTTTCGCTGTTGACATGCAGATATGAAACTTCCAAAGAGCTCTGATTTTTAGTAAAGAGGACACGATCTGGTTTGAATCACGATTTCCCCGACGACATTCTCATGGTGATCATTTCTCGGTTACCAGGTCTCTCCTACTCTGGCAGACAATTTTGAACTGAGATAACTGCATTTTTCTGTTTACTCTCAACTGGAAGTTCCAAAGTGGTTTCTGTTCTTGGCTCACAGGAAGTTTCGTCCTCAACTCTTGCCCAGCGTCGGTTCAGCCGACCTCTGCAAACGCGAGCGCCTTGTACCAGCAGACTCTTTGCGTGTACGTTGTGAATGGATCAACCGCAATTTCATCGCTTTGCGCTTACAACGCGACTGGCACGTTAACTGGGGGATTTAAGGGCTCCTCCTGCCCAAGTGAGAGCGGTTCTTCGAAGGCAAAGCGCCTCGCTTTCGTCTCCATCTTGAGTCGATAGATGAAGAAATTAGGTATTCTGACTAATAGGATACCAAAGAACACCTTGAATGGAATTCAAAGTTTGATCTCTATGTATGAGGCCCAAGTCAAAGCGGCTGAAAGGCTGAAAGGCTGAAAGGCCACTTCAAGTGGCCAAGTGGACACGACATGAGTAAGCCCGCTGAGATTCGAATTGGCTTAAACCTCGAATGCTCCTCTCCAAGGTCGTTCTGATCTCGTCTTGGAAGCGAACTTTACTTCAAATGATGAAGTATTCAACGAAAGCGCCCGACCCAAAACCATTCGACGGATCAAGGTTGATTATAATTCACCGTCGTTTTTTCGTGCCTTACGAATGCATTTTCGTCATGGGCGTTCGCAGCAGTGATTGGCGGGCCCCCGACGCGTGCTCTGACGCCTGCTCTGACGCCAGCACTGACGCCAGCACTGACGCCAGCTCCACTAGTACTGCCAAGTAAGCCGCACTTTAGCTGGCCATCAGCTTTACGATCAATTGACTAATCACTTGGCGAACTGGGCGTCCGACCACGTTTGTTATCTGGGGTTCGAAGATTGGAAAATTGAAGAATTTCCAGTCGTCCGATCGCAAGCGGTCTTGTTAGAGTTCCCGCTCCAGCGGTCCCAAAATGAAGAGCCAAAACAATATCTTATATTTGCACACCGTCAGTGAGCTGAGAACAAGTCACAACTTGTCAGCTTGAGTTACTCTCACGTTTTTCTTCGGCGGCACTCCTCCGCTCTGCTTCTTAGATGCAGAAGAGTCCATGCTGGCAAGCGCGAAATATAGCGAGCTATTGTCAATGCTATCGTTGAGCTGATCCGGTTACCCCCCCCGATTAGCTCTGTGCTAATGGCTTCTATACCTCCTTCGCCTCCTTTATTAGCAAGAAGGTTAGCCAAAGTCACAACAGTCTTGTCGAAGCAGCCCGTGTTCTTAGCAATGACCAAATACAGAGAGTCTTTCTATCTAGAACGGATGGAAAGTCTCCGCAAATTGTTCAGCGTAGCTCTTCGAGTGGATTCGTCCGACTGGCCTCCAAGTTGGTGAACCGCGTTCTCTGCAGGTGGCGTCACGGTGGGGCCCGTCTGCCCACTCGTCGATCTGCAAAACAACCGATTCGGGCGGTTGGATTGCTTCTACCAGCCTCAGCTGACGCCTGCAAGTTCGGGAGACTGTAACTACGATATAGTCACCGGTCGTCTCGTACTTCCCGGCTCCGCCTCCTAATCCAATCCCGTGCCCGGGTGAGCCGCTACAGGTCAACGATACTTGGGGTGTTGTCAACACTTTTGTAGAGATGAAAATTAGTCTCGGCGATTAGATAACTGGGCTACAGAAGGCGCCCTTGCAGATTGCACTTTTGATGTGGTGTAAAATAAATCCGGGAATGTAGAAAGAGAATGTAGTCTGCGTGGCTCCGGCGATGCTCTTTGCACCTGGCGGTCGCTGCTACTCAGGGGTTGATCGCGCGCATGACAACGCTACCCTTGTCTGAAATGTTCAAGACAACGCTTTGGTTGTGAGTCTGATCAAACGTTCAAGACCGACTGCTTACGATCTTAAGCTGCTGACTTGTACCTTGTCTAGATTTGATACCGTAACCCTTCGTCAAAGTCGAATGACCTCGTCACAAAGAAGCGTCAACACTTTCGCTTTGGACTCCAAACTGCATCAAATTAGTGGGCTTCTCATTCATTGGCAACCGCTCAACCGGCATCGATACACGAACAGTAGCCCATCGCGGCCACTTGAAGACTCTCTTAACCGACCATGAGGTGCGCCGCGTCCGCACCCTTGCCCATCTGTCTCTTGACCCATTTCCAAACCCGTTTTGTAATCAGATTTCCCCAGAATCCCCAAGATCCCGGAATAGGGTTCGAGTACCTCATTCTCCAGGCTTACTAGTATTACCCACACCCATCCTCCAGATTATTCCGAGTGAACCGGCTTCGTCAAGAGCCAAAGGCTTTTGTACCCTGTATTGCAGCAAGCACGAGCGTTGCCAACGCCTGCCCCCTCGCGTCAGTAGTCGCCCCGAATGGAGTCACCCAGAGCGTGCAGGCCGTCAACGTTCAATGCCGCTACATCAATCAGGACAATGAATTCCAAGGAAGCTGTATTTACGATCAACGTGGCTATTTGGTGGCCTATGACGCATTCTCCGCCTGTCCTGGACCGGTGAGTGCTATTTGATTACCTGCCGCTTGGTGACATTGGCGTCAGGATTACGTGGATGTCTCGTCCGACAAAGGAATAATGGGTAACGGTGCAAAAGCTGTTGACGATTCCATAAGCTTCCACGTCGTACAGAAATCATGAGTTTCGTCTTCTATCACGGCTGAAAGAAAGGATCAGGCCATCAGATCCAACAGTGGAAGAGTGCGTACAGCATGTTGCTGCCACAGACAATCTGTGATCATCAATTTGTGAAGCTGGTCTGTGTTGAGCTATTAGTCTGGTTCTGTCCAAGCAACGGCGCGCTTTCGTGCTTCCAATTCCGATTGCGGACTCGCGCTGTTATAACCACGCTCATTCCTACGACTTCCCGGTGCCCGCCTTCCAGGTGGCGGCTCCCCCGACGAGATGCAGCAGCAGCACCGATTGTGCCGCCATCCCGTCGGGCACCCCCGGTTCGTCCAACCGGTGCTCTTGCACTTTTTCCATCGGCGGCAACACCGCGACCTTCTGCCAGGCTGACGTAAACTGCCGTGCATGCACCCGGGGCTGCAACCGGGCGGCCGATTGCCCCCCCGGGTACAGCTGCGCGCCCGACTGCGGCGGAGCTCCCCCCCCGGCAGCGAATCTCACCGGGGTCTGCCTGCCCAACTGTGGCACCGCGCCTCTTCCGCTGGGTTGTTAGTGCACGAGTTGTGTGGAAGGGCGAAGGCCCGGGTTAGAGGGGAAACCGATGGACGTTTTGTGGAATAACCGGCCACGTGGCGTGAAGCGCGCGCACAAGGTGGCGGCGTGTTAAGGCACGTCTCGGCGGGTTTGTATAGAGACTTGATTTGCGGAAGCGAAGTATAAATGCTTCTCGCATCTTCTCAGCTCTCACGAACTTGGTCAACAGTGTGTACATAAAAGTCGTCCGGCCGTCATAGCGCCTGCCAGTGTGGATTCAAAAATTATGTGGAAGAGTAAGAACGTGCTTTATCAGAGACAAATGGAAATTAGACTTAATTGCCGCCGGAAGCAAAGTATAGACGTTGCTCCTTTTTTCTCAGCTGTAACGCCGTTGGTCAATATTGTGTACATAAGATTCAACCGTCAAGGCCTGCGAGTGGGGCTTTACTGAATACGCGAAAATCAAAAACGTTGCATGTGGTGGATTCATTGGGCGACCTCCAAGTGAGATAAATCGCACCCCCATTCGCCTTGGATCCGTCGTTGTCCCATCTGGCAATGCACAGATGAATCCGCAATGTCAGACCTTCAGAACCTGACGGTTCCATGGCACTTTGACATGTGGATCCGCAAAGTTGGGCCGGGAGTCGAGTAGTCAGTAATCCCTTCGGTACTAAATGGGTGGCAATTTGTGCAGTAACACCGTCCAATTTGCACCTCATCTGACGAACACCACAAATAAGGGAAAGACAGCCATTTAGTATAGGCTTCACATACCTTAGGAATCCCTATAACCTTGGTTCACCTAAAGAATCTAGTACCTTAGCCCGTCACTCTATCTTTACGCTTTATAAGTCTTCTAAAAGCACCATAGCTTATACACTGCTCATCCCTTGCCCGCTCCACTACCCTATGCCCTCCTTATCGCCTATGCGCCTCACGGCCGCCCTATACTCGGCGGCGCGGCCTCGACCAGCCCCGCCAGCCGGGGATCCCCCCGGAGCCGCCCGTCCATCTCGTAGTATTTTTGCAGCGCCTGTTCCTCGTGCTTCTTCAGTCGCTGCTCCAGGATGTGAATACGGAACATCGACTCCTCGGTCGTTTTCTCGTACTCTTCCTCTTCTTGCCGCGTCATCTGGTCGCGGTCCCGCTGGAAGTTCGCCTGCCGCTTCGCCAGCGCGGCCGTCTCCTCGTCGTGGCGCGCCTGGGGAAGCGGTTAATGGAGGGGTTAGGACGCGGTTGGATGTAACGAAAGCGGTTTAGAATGCCGCGAGCTCAAGTAGAGGTCTGGATTGACCAAAAGAGACTCGACCAGCGCGGCCGTTTCCTCGTCGTGCCGCGCCTGGGGAAAAGATAGAGGAGGGATCAGGACGTGGTAAGGTTGATTGAACGGGTTAAAAATACGGTGTACGCTCAAGCGGAGGTTGGGCCTAACCATTTAGGACTTCGCCAGCGCGGCCGTCTCCTCGTCGTGGCGCGCCTGAAGAAACGGTAGACGGGGGTTAGGACGTGGTTGGGCTTGACAAGAAAAAATAACTTAGAGTGCGGTTTTGGTTCGAGCAGAGCTTAGGTTTAATCATACAGGACTTGGCCAGCGTGGCCGTCTCCTCGTCGTGGCGCGCCTGGAAGGAGATGAAGAAATGGGTTTGCTGTCAAGCTCAGTGGTGTTTCCGCCTGGGTAATTGCAAGCGGATGAGGTGCAAAGAAGGGAACTTTCAGCCAATCAAGAAACGGCGAGTTAAGGTGGAAAGAAATTGACATCTGAGCTTCGAGCTCTAGAGAAGTAAAGGCGTTGACGGTGAACATTGATCGCTTTGCTCAGATCTGAAGAGGGTAAGACCGGAGAAGGCGATTCGGTCGAAGAAGTAGCATCACCCTTACTGCCAGTGCTCAGGAACGCATATGGAACTTCTCTTCAAGCTGGCCCTACAGGTTCTGAACTGTCTGGAGAAAAAGGTTCCTGATCCCTGTGCAAGTCCACTATCTATCATTGTGATCCCGACTCGTCGACACTAAGGAGAAGATATTGCCCCATAAACAATCATAAACCACCGGCTGAGCCACTCAAACGTAAGTGAAGGCGTCAGCGTTGACTGAGAAAAGAGCCATCTCTAGTTCCAAGTACTGCCTTACCTGGTCCATTCCACTATCTATCATCGTGATCCCGACTCCTCGAGACTAAGAAGAATGAATTGCTACAATGAAAAGTACAATCGACCGACTAAACCACTTAAACGTAAGTGAAGGCGTCAGCGTTGCCTGAGAAAGGAGCCATCTCTAGTTCCAAGCATTACCTGGATGATGTTGGCGCGTTCGATGAGGCGGTCCTTGAGCGCGCGCAGGCACTTCTCGCGCGTCTCCAGCATCTCCTGCCGCGTCAGCAGCTGGCCCGCGCGCGCGTGGGGCGGCAGGAACGGCGACAGGTAGTCGTTCTCCACCTGCAAAGAGTTGGAAACAAAAGTTCAGACACCAAAAGGCTTTTCAAACAGGGGAACACTTTGTGAACATGCGCGCGAATGTGCTCCTTCAGGAAGGCGAGGGCGGGAAGAACAGGCGGCAAAACTTATTTTCCAATTTATGCGAGAGTTGACAGAACCCGTGGAAGGAGAAGTGGAGTACAGTTTTCCAATCTAAACCCCCACACCGATCAGAACCCTCTTTAAGCAGGCCAGGGATGCACGCGTGAATCACGGAACCCCACAGTAACGTAACCTCGGGGTACTCTTGACCGATCGACCGAGGGCTCAGACCCCGCATGCAGATCTGAAACTTTGACCGGTCAGCCGCACGGAAGTGGTCGGGGACTCAAACATAACCAGCCCAGCTACTTGAACAGCTGCGCGCGCACGGAGTACCATTCGGTGTGGGGGTCTCGGACTGCAAACTGCAGTCCGCGTTCTCCTTCCATCCGTTCTGACACCGTAAAATGGGAGCGCCTTACACTCCAACAAAGGAACAAGAACAAAAGCGTATGATGGCTTCAATATATCTTCCCGGCGGCTGTGATCGAAAAGGCGGTGACACCGAGCCGTGCTCAGAAGCGGAAAGCGCGAGGCGCAAGTCCAAATGCACTTCCGCAACAACCACAGTGCCCTTATCATTCCCCTTCGACTGTTTTGGCGAGAGCGCATGGAAGAGGCCCGAGGGGATGGGATAAATCTCATCGGCAAGTTAGCGAAAAACGAAATGGAGGGGAGCGGAGAGGGGAACGCACTCTGCAACGATCGTCGTTCTCCTCTTTTCCGATGCGCACCCGTTAAAAAGCGGAAAGCCGGCCGACAACAGTATCCAGGCGGAAAAGGGGGATGCAGGGAAGCGGACAGCGGAACGGGAAGAACGACAAACGGAACGGACCTTTGCGACGACCACGGTGTCCTCATCGCCTTCCGATGAGCGCCCGTCAGGGAGCGTAAGATGAGAGCCCAGAATAGGACGCAAGCTCGTATAAGGAAGAACGGCGATGCAGGAAAGCGGAACGCGGAACGGACAGTAGCGGAACGCACCTTCGCAACGACCACGGTATCCTCGTCGTCGGTCTCCTCCTTCTTGACGGGCGCTTGTTAGACAAGGAAGCCGAGGGGCAAAAAGGTTGCAAAGTGGAGGGCAACCAACGAGGAAGCGGAATGCGGAACGGAGGAAGCGGAATTGAATGTGGAACGGATACGAAGAGAAAGCGAAACGCACCTTCGCAACGACCACGGTGTCCTCGTCGTCGCTCTCCTCCTTTTCAACGTGCGCACATTTAAAAAGAAACCTCTGGAAGCCGAGGGGAGATAAGAACGCAAAGTGGATGCCCTTGACCTGGAAGCGGAATGCGGAACGAATACGAACGGAAAGCGGAACGCACCTTCGCGACGACCACTGTATCTTCGTCGTCGCTCTCCTCCTTCTTGACGCGCGCCACGTCGTAGTAGGGCACCTTGAGCACGATCGTGTGCTCCTCGCGCGCGCGCGCCTCCAGGATCTCCGCCGTCTCGCGCTCGCTGTCGCGCACCGCCTGCTCAAAAAGACGAACACGGTCCAAAAAATCTCACGAGACCCCCAGGTTTTACAAAGAAAAGCCACGAGTATAGAAAGCTGAGAGTGCCAGGAATGAAGCTTCCGCGCGCACTGGCGCGCATTGCGGAAGGCGTTTTGTGAACGGTTTGGGGATTTTTCAGAAAAGAAAGTCCAGCTTTTGGCGGCGAACCTCCTCCATAGCAGAGTAAGAAAAGGAAGGGGTCTAAGATTGAAGCATCTCGCGCACAGCCTGCGTAAAATACGATCCACCACGGTTCATCGTACATTCATGAGGACTCCAGCATTTTATGAAGAAAAAGAACGGAGGGAAAATGCTGAGGTAATCAGGGTTGAAGCGTCTCGTGCTCGCTCACTTGAAAACGTCGGAAGCAAACTGACGAACTGAAATGGTTCATGACCTTTTCTACTTATCGAAAGTTTCTGACATGAATGAAGCCAGAACTGCAGATGAATAATTCTGGAAATCCGAAGCAGCCACCCACCTGCATGGCGGCGCGTTCCGCGGCTAGCATCCGCTGGTATTCCGCCGCGAGCTGGGCGGAATCGAGCCTGGGCGCGAGCGGATCGACTTCCGACACCGTTGCGGATCCGTCTTTGCCGTACGACCGGCTCGAAGCGGTGATTCGATTGTCGGCGTAATGCAGGGTTAGCTTGATAGAATCGGGGTTAAGCTTGAACGTCCGTTTGGCAACGTTCTGGTTAGCGGGGAGAGTAGGGTCGCTGGCAAACCTGCGGAGAACAAATAGTCCTGGGTCCGGTTCTGGTTCCGGGTTGCTCTTGACCAAAGCAAAAAAGCTGTCGAAAAGATGGTGTTTCTCTAGAGGTGGCCGTTCTGACTTCCGGGAAGAAACCAGGGGCATGGGCAGGGATAAGTGAATCAAAGGGAGCCCTATGTATGGATTTCGACGTTCCAAAATACGGCTCTAGCGCCGCTTCGGCAATTCTGCGACTACTCAAACAAAGTATATCCCTGAAAAGTTGTCGAAAGCGGGAAGTTACGCACAAGCTGACAGAACGAGACAGCCACCTTCGAGAATCGGGAAGAGCAACACACTCGGAATCGACAGAAGGCAGAGCCGGATTTGAATTATGTTCAGAAAATTTCGCCAGATTGCTTCGAAGACGCAGCGTCTTCTTTACTTAAGCTTTGCAACACCAGCTACGCTTAGAACGTCGAAAATGCACGCTGGTTTGCAGCTTCCTACGACTCAGGATCCTAGTTCCACGCTCAATGCGTCTCGATTTCACTATTCGACCAGCTTCAACATCCGGTGTGTAAGGCTTCTTACAAGTAACCCGTTTCCATGGTTTGAATGACAAACTTACTTTTCGGTCAGCTTCACGATCGGCAGGGACGCGTCCGCCTTCTTCCGGCTCCGCAGCCCCGACCGTTCGGTGCCCGACTCGCTGCCGCCGTCGCTTCGATCTACAGGGCCTCCCTCCTCAGTCTTCCGTTTCAGTCTCTCATTCAGCAGATTCGCGTTTCTGAGAGAGGCCCTGTGTTTGTGGGGCTTGCCCGGGCGACCGTTACCGCCCTTACCGCCGGGGCCGGTTCCTGCAACGGTGCCCCGGCTGTTGTGGCTGCCGGAATCGCTGGAGGGGCTGTCCGCGCGCGAGGTGGCGTCCGACTGGAGGTCCGAGAAGGCTCCTGACGGTTCCGCCGGAATGGCCGGAGCGCCGAAGACGGCCTTGCGGAAGAGGAGGCGGTCGTCGCGACCTTCGAAGACTTCGACAGTCTTGGCTTGGAGAACCTGAGGAACAGATCAAGAAAAACTTTGAGTTAAGCAGGTTAAGGAGGGGGTCAAGTTCACAAAAAAGGTTGCTAAAGCGGGAAACCTGGGCCCAATTCCAGCTCTGAGAGCAAGGTGTAAGTTTAGTGAAAGATCCGACTGGATCAACAGAAGCGCAAGTCCAGAACGGAGCAGGTTGTAATGTGCACATGTATCAGCAACTTCGACGTCATGCGGAGCAGTTGGCAAAACCGTAAACTTTCTTTCTCTAAAATCAGAGACGCGAACCATGGCCTTTTCGTTGTCTAAAACACTTCGATCGACAATCAAAGCACTCTGGACGGTCCTTTGTTACGGGCTGTTCAAGTAACAGCAGACGCGGGTAAGAATCGTTGACGACCTAGACCTCTTCCGCAGAGGAAGCTTCAAAGCTAGAATCTGCATATGGTCAGATAAAAATGATCGGAGCGGTTTACCTCTTCTCTGACCAGCAGACCGTCCAGCCGCGAGCTCGGGTAGAAGTGCATGGTGCGGCTGACGTTCTTGACACTGATCAGCTCTTTCAGGCCGAAAACGGTTCCAGTGTCAAACTTCTCGTGGATCTGCACGCGGTTAGAAATCTCTGTCAGGACTGTCATCGGCAGGTCAACGGAGAGCTTCTCTGGAGATAAGCTAGCTCAACTTGATTGACTTCTATAAGACTGAGCAACCGGCTTGAGACAGCAAAATTCCGAACTGGTTCTCGGTAATCGAAAGGCCGCAAATACTCAAAGGAGGCGACCTAGGACCCGCAACTCCTCTACAAACAGACATCACGTGAGCTTTCAGATTGGTCGCTGAAGACGCCATTTAGATCACAACATGGTCCGGTTAGTGCGCTTTGTGGATTGGCGCCCTTCTTCAACGGTGATCGCTGGGGTGCCGCGGAAAGCACTAATGAGAAACGCCACTCTCGTGTCCTCTCCACTGCTTCCGCTCGGTACGATGCATGTAAGATCCGCTTTCCTTTTCTTGTCAGTAGGAATCTTCGCAAAAGTTGTGCTCGGCACAACTGACTGACCTTCAAACATATTGACGATTCCCAGTTGATAAAGTGCGCATCCGCCTCTCGTGCAGCGACTGTTTCAGCCCATCAAGAGCCGTACCCCTCTTCCCCCTCCTTATCCACTTTCAACGTTTTTAACTTTAGGCAAGGTGAATGATGTCTTCTAGTGCAGAATAACCAGAGTATGGATCTGATTTCCCACCCTGTCCTCCAGCGAGCCTTTCGCTACATGTGCAGGGCTCCTCTCGCTATCCAAGTCCCCTCTCATTAGTAATCACGTCTAAGTAAAGGGAATTTCACTGAATATTGCGAAATCTGGGCACTAGATTACAATACACGCGGTGTTAATCAATCCGCCCACCTTGTCTTCCAACGGGTGACTCCGCCGCCCGCGGACCCATCTCCGCTTTTAACCCCTCCCAGCACACAAGCTTCCACTTTATTAACCAGTGCAACAACGTTACAGGGGGGTAAAATTCAGTTTGAAATGGCCCCCCCACCTTGTCTTCCAGCGGGTAGCTCCGCCGCTCGCGCAGCCGGTCCTTGCGCCGCTGAAAGCACTCGCGCCGCTCGCGCAGAATGGTGCGCGCGTCGTCCGAGAAGACGCTGATGCGCTGCGTGAGGCCGTCCCAGCGCGCGTTCTCGCCGTACGACGAAAAGATCTCCAGCGTGCACCGGTGGAACACCGTCACCTTGGTGCCCTTCAGACACCTGTAAAAGTTGGGTGTCGTTTGTTTGTTCACTTCTTTCTTTTCTAACTTTAAGTCAGTTTTCAAACGTTACCAGCAGCGAAAGATCTTCAGCGTAAAATGGTAGACCTGGTGCCCTTGAGACACCTGTAAAAGTCGGTGCGTCGTTTTTTTTCACTTTCCGGTATGCATCTTTTTATCACCCTCCCCCTCCTCATGTCAAAAATCTTCTCAAGCTCGGCCAAGCTCGGCCAAGCTCCTGATCCTTCGTCATTCCCCAGATCATCGTAGCAATGGCGAAAGGCCCCTCAAGCGTCTGCCGATGGACACTCCTGAAACCTGCTTATCTTCTTCTCTTAGCTCAACGACGATAATTTAACTTGAAAAGGAGACAATAATTGCATTCTTTGGAACTTTAAGTCCTCCATAAGCCTGCACATCCGTTGAAAGACCCGTCTGCGCCAAGAAAGTAAGGCAATCGGTTGAATTTTACAGGTCTTGTTCCAAGCACGCGTTGGGGTTTTGATTTGATTCAAAGTATCTTTCCAATGCAGGCGTGGCTCAACTGCAACTCTTTGCAGAAAGAGTGTGCAAGGTAGAGAGTCGAAGATCTTTACACAGCTTCTAATCCAAATCAGTGGTTTTAGAAACCCGTCTCTGATGCTGATCATCCGCACCTGGTGTCGAACGCCTCTCTGCTGATGGCCAATTTGGGAACCCAGCTCGCGGGCAGCATCCAGTGGTTCAGCAATTCCCGGGGGCCTTGTTCCTCTTTCTGTCGACTTCCGCTCCGGCCGGAAACCTCAGATCCGCTGTTCTCCTCAAGAGGAATGGGGCCCTGAAGCGTCCCGTGCCGTGACGTCATGCTGCGGTTCGTTGTCAGGCCCCGACTGCGGGTGGTAGATTGTAACTCGTCTGGCAGAAGAGGCAGGAGCGTTACGACAGGCTGCGGTTACGCTTGAAAATCTGCGCCCTTTTTCCTTTTGCTAAAGGGAAATAGGCGCACCAAAACGGAAAAAAAAAAAGGTTTGGAGAGGGATAAGTCTCCAAGTCCCTACTGCGATGTCTTGCTGTCTTAACTGCTTCTTCGTTCCTACTCTTGTGATTATAGGCCCTGACTTCTCTCTTCCGTCGCTTCATTCTCGCTTCTGCAGCTTCAATATAAGTTCAGACCAGCCCCTTAATCTGCATCAGAGGCTGGAGAACTAGAGTGGAAAGCTTTTGCAAACGAAGTGCACATCTCCTCACCAGTGTCTCACCGTCTCTTTGGACGTCCCAATCGGCCCCCAGACCCCCTACCTGGCTAACCTAATGAAAATTAGGGCGAAATGAGGTGTTAAATGCAATCAAAGTGTAAAGCTCCTCACCAAGGTCTGACCCTTTAGGCGTCCCGATCGCCGTCCGCCCCCCCTCCCCGACCGCATTCACACCCCTGGCCAGAGTCTCCGCCAAACCGCCCGGAGTCTTCTCCCGACCAAGCGTCCCCTTGCCCAGCAAAGCCTCGACCGCCCCCCGGCGAGCCGTCCCGGGCGTCGAACCATCCCCCGTGATCGAGCCGCGCGAATTGGCGCTGACGTCATCGCCGGCGTCATCCGCCGCGGGCGCGCGCGCGCGCTCCGGTGTGACGTCGTCCAGGACGCGCTCCCACTTCTTGACGTGCTTCAGGTCCCAGCTGACGTCAGCGATGCCTTCCCGGCGCGGGTTCGGCTGCATGTTGACCCAGACGTTGACGTCATTCCAGACCTCTTCGATTCCGTGGTAGGGGGATCCGGTCAGGGCGTATTTCACCCCCGTGCTGGGTTCGACGAAGAAGCCCTCCGCGATTTCTCTGTGCCCGGGAGCGACCATAACCCAACAGTGCACCCGCTGCCGGTCGAGCGGATCCTTTTCCCTCGCCGTTCCGCCCCGATCGCCGGACGTTCCGCCGGAAATCCCCTCTCCCTCGCGACTTTGTAAGCTTTCCCCGCTGGCTGTATTCATGCGGGAGACTCCCTCGTCGACTCTTTTCTCCGGCGGAACCTCTAGCCCTTCCGCCGCCATCTGGGCGCGCATGGTTCCGGCGGAAATCCGGCGGGGGGCCGCCGACTGATCGCTCCTCCGCGGCTGGGTGGCGCTCATTCCGCGCGAGCTGGCTCCGCTCTGGCTTCCGGCGGAAGAGATCTCTCCCCGTTCTTCTTGCTGCTTCGCGAAAGCGCTTTCAAAGTTGGGCAGCTCTTTGACTTGGTACTTGCTCGGAGGGGGCGGCACCGACGGCCGATTCTTCGGATCCGCTGTTCCGGCGTGCGACTTTCCGGCGGAGTCAAGAGGGAAGACTGCAGCAGTAGTTCCTCTTCGGTCCTGCAGATACGGAGACATGTTCAATGATTTTTCACGCAACCGAGGCTGTTTAAGAAGTTTTACAATGTGTTGTTCAAATGGGCTGAGGTACTTTGTGACTAATCTGTGTCCATTCGCCAAGAGCTTGATTCCTACAAGAAGAAAAATCAGGACCCTAAATCCTATGGGCAAAATCACGAGCATCAATCCGCGCGAGGAAGAAATAAGATTGTGCACTGCTTTGCGTTCCAGACTTCTCCCGGCGCCGTCCGGGCCTCTGGTGCAACGAACCGGCGACAGACTTTGGATACTTGAACTTTCTCATAAGATCTCCGTATCTTTTGAGACCGGAGGACGCTTGAGACGTTCTCAGACTTGCGTCTTCGTATCAGCAGATGTTTGCTCCGTACATCTCTCCGAAACAGCTCTCTGCGTAACCCAGAGACGCTGCTTGAATCGACAGAGCAGCGTCTCTGAGTGAGAAGAAGCGCTGGACTTCTCAGTAGCTTGAGACGTAGGACCACGTCATGGTGGCTTGATGCTGACGTGACATACCTGATCGCTCAAAAGAGGACACTCCACGTTGGACTGGTCGTTGGTGGTGACTTCTTTGGGCGCGTATCCCGCAACGCAGTAGGCGTCAAAGCCCGCGCCAAGGAGCAGCGAGCAGAGACCAATGCTGAAGTCAAAAGAGTCGCCGCATTGCCACTGCAGCCGAAAAGGTGAACGGGTTTTAGTCTAGTTCGAGGCTTCGAATGCTTAGCGGATTTGCAAAGAGATCGCCAGATGCAGAACGGTCCAAGGATTGAAGTTGATGGAGCAAAAAGCCCTAAGCAACGTAGAATGTGAACCGGAAACGGTATGCAGAGCTTTCAGAAGAACGTTGGGGATTCTGATAGGTCGTAAGGAGTAACCTGAGTCTCTGTCCACATCCAGGTCAAAGGAGAAACCAGGGGAAAACCTGGGTAGACATACTGACGCCTCAATGACCTAACGAAGCATGAAATACTGGCACGACAGCGGAGATCCACGCTCGAAGAGGAACTATAGACTCTGGAAAGAGCCCTCTAATAATCCTCGCTTCCACTCACAGCAGAAGCGCCCGGTAAATGGGTGGAATAGTTACGGGTTACTTCGGGTTGGGGTGCGGAGCGTGTCATTTCTTCCGCTAGGGTCGTCATTCGAGTGCCCTGGACTCTGAAATCTTGGTTCAAGCTGCTGTTAGTGATTTCAAGGGTTGCCATATGTCTGATTTTCAATCATCTCCATTTCCTTCGTGACGCGGAAAAACGAGCTAACGAAGCGCACGCCGGTACGTACCTGGAAGACGGACCAGGGCGAGGGCACGTGCGCGGGGTACTCGCGCGCGTCCTCGAGCGGGTCGAATCGCAGAAAGTCCGCGACGAAGCGCGCGCACTTTTCCCAGTCGTACAGCTCCGTGAAGGGCAGCTGGCTGGGGCGGAGCGTCGTGCACAGAAACTTCTCGACGCCGCACTCATTCCGGGGGGCCAGAAATGGCGGGCGGCGGTGGGGGTGGTGCTCCACAAACTGCGCGAATCCGAAAGTGTTCCCCGTAATGAGTTTCCGTTGGGTTGGAAGTCCTGAGGGTTCTTGTTCGTTGGTGCAAAGAGAGGGACACTTGCCCGGCACGTGGTTGGAAATCTCGCTTTTATTTTTCGTTGGTTTTCAACGGTTTTGTTTGGTTGCACAACTTGGGCGAGTTAGCATCAAACGGCCACTGCCCGTTAGTACAGTGAAATCAGTTCTCAGCTGCTCCCCACTCTTTCGCGTGTATTGAAATGGGTGAGGGCGAGAATGTCGAATCCCTCTTACACATGGGCTTCTTCTTCAAACACGGAATTTACTGCCCCACGTCCTCCGTCTGTGCGGCCGATTCATCATGAGCAGGACACATACGTTTGCAGCAAAAGGACCTTTCGAACCGTCGAACTCGCGCCCTGCTCACCAGGCTCCTGAAGTTTTCGACGTGGTCCAATAGCCGCCGCTCCTTCTCCGAGAAGCCCGTGAAGCTGGGCGGCAGCTGGCCCATTTTGGCGTGCATCGTCAGCATGACGCGCGCGCGCTTATTATTCGCGGGCAGCGCGGCCGCGTCGCCGTCGGGCTTCAGCTGAAAGGCGCCGAGCGGCGCCTCGGAGTAGACGTCGAGAACGGCCGGGGTTTGGGGGGCTTTGGCGGAGCCGACGGTATTGACGGGATCGCGGGTCGAGGCAACGGAACCAACGGAACTGGCGGGATCGCGGGTTGCTGACGCGGCCGCGCCGGACTGGTAGAAGAAGAACTTGCCGTCTGTGAAGAAAGGGTTTCGGAATGTTTGGGATGAGTTTCAGGAACGAACAGTCTAGGAGCGAATCTGCATACTTTTCGCCTGCAGAATATTAGTAGGATTTGGGTGAAATCGGTTCAAGACGACTTCTTAAGCTGGCAAGGGTAATTGCCTTACTTGCCGTAACTACCGTACTTATCGAATTTATCGCATTTATCGTAGTTATCGAACTTATTCGTTTACCCGTTCTGTACAGACCCGGAATACAGTCGACCTCTCCCTCGACGGGACGTACTTGGCGATCCTCCAGCCCGCATGCCACATTCCAAAGTCGCCGTACAGAGTTTCAATGACGAATTAAGCTGCCTTTCGGAAGCTGTACAATCGTAGCTTCTTTTGCAGTTTAACCCAAACTTACTCTCGTTACTGAGATCTGACATCCCCAACAAAATGCGGACGAACGGCGACCTTGTGACCCAAGTCTTCCTCGCACCGTCGCCCTGCAAAGGTCGCCACTCACCGACGAAACCCGCGTTGTGGGAGCCGTGGAGTCCGAGCTCGCTTTGCAGCTCCACCCAGGTCTTTACTTTGCTGCCTCAGTCTGGTAAAGGTTCCACTCACTGCACAATCAAGCTCCGGACACCATTCAAACGGTTTACTTACCAACAAAGCCCGCGTTGCGGGAACCGTTGAATCCGAGCTCGCTTTGCAGTTCCACCCAGGTTTTGACTTCGCCGACGAAGGCGGACTTGCTCACGGACGGCGTGCCGACGCGCGAGGTGGAAGCGCGCGCCTGCGCTGGCTGGTCCCTGAATTATTGGGAGGCATGACGTCAGCTGCCCAGGAACTGATTCAAGCGCGCAGCAATGAGTTTAGAAGCTGATGAAAATTGTCGTGGATTCGATAATGACGGCACGACTGAATACCAAGGACGAGCTTGCTAGCTTTTTGAAACGTCTTGAAGAGTACGGTCCCCCAACCTTGATCAAGTGGGGCTTCGGAATGCTGCAAGCTTTGAAGTCGTCTGTAAAAGCACGATCGAATTCCTGTATTTCGGATTAGAACGGGAAGTTTCCGAGAAAACCTCAAAACAAAAGAGAGAACATATGAATGAGTTGCTTCTGAAATTGTTGAACCGTATGCTGTGAAAGTCTTACGTGTTTACTTTTCACTACGACTCAAAAAACTTGAATTGCCTTCTGAGGTTTGCTGTGATTCAGCGACGCACCTGCAAAGGAACTAATGCTCACAGCAATTCAGAAAAAAGATACGGAAAGAGCCACATTCTGGAAGTGGCAAGCAAAAAGGTCATTACCACTGCTGTTGGCGCTTGATGTCGAGGTAGAAGAGCGAGAACAGCTGGCCCCCCATCTCGTCAACCCCCCCGAAAAGATACAGGCGGTCCTCGTGCGTGCAGATCGTGTGGCTATGACGCGGCGGGGGGACGCGCCCTTGCGCCGGTACCTGGGGCCATAAGAACCGGGTGTTCGAAGGGAGGTTTCATCACCATGTTTGCCGCAGTTCAAAACACCGATCATTCACGCAGATGTGAATGACGCTAAGAACGATCTGACGCCAGGTAATGATGACGTACGCCCCGCGTTGGAAGCGAAGACAGTGCAAATAGCCAGCCGTCTTGATTTGATCATGCAGAGGAGTAACGGCAGAATCCATCTTCGACGTCAAATCATCGAACCGACTGGCCTCACCTTCGTCCAGGTCATCTCGTCGAACTCGAGCACATGCAGGTCGTCCAAGATGAAGTTGCTCCGCCCGCCGTGCACGTAAAGGGAAGACCCGAGTACCGTCACCGCTGCGTCCTGCCGCGGAGCCGGAACGGAACCGGTCGTCGTTGTCTGGATCCAAGTCCAGCTCTGCGACAGGGAAGCGGGGTTAGATGACTTACAAGCCAAACCCAAACCCAAATTTCGAGGTGATCGGTCGTCCATGTTCAAATCCAGGTCCGACTGTGCGGCGGAGAAGCGGGGTCGGCGGAACCAGCGGAGGAAAGTTTCAGGAGGTTTTCCAGAGTCGCCAGTGAAAGGTCTCCTTTGCCAGAGGCCTCGAAACCGAAGTTCTCAGGAAGGGGGAATGCCTTGTCTCTTAGCCTTCCCGGCGGCAAGAAGAACCGGGTTTCTCAGTACTGGGTTGAGTACATGCAAACGATGTCACTTCTTTTTGGGTCCCCAGGCCATGGATGCCCGCAACAAAAACGCCCTTCTCCAGAACTCCATCCACGTGGGTCGTGAGAAAAGCAAAGTTTTCTCGATCGTTGGACACATGCCGGACACATGAAGTGCTCGACCCAAAGTTCTGACCTCCGTGTCTAGCAGGTAGAGGTCGTTGAACCTCTGCTTGCTGCCGTGGCCCCCAAAGACCGCCACTTTGCCCCCGAGCATTGCCATCGACGCGCCTTCTCGCGGCGCCGGGGGGGTCCCTTCGACGGTCGGCTGGAGCCACACCATGGAGTGCAAGTCGAGCATGTAAAAGTCGCTCAGCCGCTTCTTCTCGGTGTTCCGCCCTCCAAAAATGAAGATCCTGCGATGCGCAAAAGTCTAAGTTGAGCGGGACTGCGTTTCTGGGCTTGTGCCTTTCAAATCAGACTCCGCTGAATTCGATTCGGACAAGCATGTAAGTGTTGAGCTGTGTCTTCTCCACTTTCCGCCTTCCGCAGTTGAAGAGCCTGCACTAGGGAAGTGTAAGGGTCAGCAACATTGGTCAGGAGGATGCTCTTGAGCTTATGTCCGCTAGCCCAATACAAACGAGTCACGATTGAGCATGTAAAAGTCGCTGAGCCGCTCTCTCTCCGCCTTTCACCCACCAGAAATGAAGTTTCGGTGTGTAAAAGGTCAGCAAGGTTGTGCACCTACTCCGAAATGCTCCTGAGCTCAACGTCGTGAGCCCAATATTGATCAAGTGACTCTAAGAATGTAAAAATTGCTGAGCCGCTCTTTCTCCGCGTCCCGCCCCAAGAACCGGAGCATCTTACGTCCAATAGAGGTTGTATGGTGAACGCATTGCGTTTCTCTGAAACGTGGATGCTTCGCCAAGTCTTGCATTGCCAGTCGAGCATGCCAGTAGCGTTAACCCGTAGCGTTAACCCGCAATTCTTCCGCCTTCAGCGGATGAGAAGCTTTTAAAGCGCGCTTCTTGGTCGTCGTTCCTCATCAAAGTTTGAAGGCACCTTGGCTTTTAAGAGGGATCCCCCACCTGCTCTGCCCGTCATACACAGCCGCGTGTCCGTCACGTGCCGCCGGCGCATTGCCACGTGTTTCCACCCTCTCCCACAGGAGATGCTGCGAGTCGATGGCCCACACCTCGTTCACCTGCATTTCCGTCACCCTTGCGTCAAGAAAGCTAAAATCTGACGTCTGATCTGAAGGGCACTGAGCCGAGATGATTTGATGCATGAGTTATAGGCCCGGTTTGACTGCCTCGTCTATCTGTTCTGCATGAAGCCTGCCAGAGCCTGTTGGAGATGGACCGGAATAGCGATCGCCAATCCTACGCGTTGCGGAGTCAGTTCTTCACTTTACAGGTGGTCATTGAATTGCGGCATTACCTCGTAGCCCTCCGGTTCTCATCACAAACTCCTCTTCACAACCACAGTCCAGTCTCACGGAACGCCGTTCCAAAGTCTAGGTCTCTAATTAAAGATTGCTGCTGCCGCATATCTGTTATACCATTTAACTCCTTCATGCCTTGCTTTTCGAACACAATAAGCGATTGCTAAGCCACCTCACCCAGAACCGGCTTTCAGGACCAAGAACAGAACCGAAAGTCCTCACCTTCGTCTGGCCCCCGAGGGATCCCCCGATGACGTAGGTCACCGAGCCGACTTGCGTCATGGTGTGGCCCGTTCTGACCGGGGGACAGTCCCGGGGCTCGCTCTTGACCCGGTACTGCATGTAGCTCCCGACCTTGACACCGACCGGTTTGCGCCGCTCCAGTTCCTCCGCCTCTTTCTTCTGGTACTCCTCTTGTAAGTGGGCCATGAAGTTGGGTATGCCCTGCGAGAAAGCGTGTCGATATTGTCGGGTAAGACCGTGACCAAGTAGTACGGGTCTCCATAACCCAAGCAGCATGACTCGAAGTGCAGGGATGGGACTCCTCTAGTTTAGGTAGCATAACCCCTAGGTGTGGTTAGATTGGTCCCCGGGCTAAACAAAGATACGAACCTCCAACTAATTAATTACGCGCTGCGCACCCCTATCCACCACACCCCCCAAACCTAGCCCCACCCGTTCCTGGGGCCTTCATCTTATCTTGCCTAGCTCTATCCTACCAAAAGTATAGGTCTTTGTGTGACGCAGGGAGTAATTCGATTTGTCGAGAGAATGTGTGCGATTTGCGGCGCGTCTGCTGTCGGTAAAGTTAGATGCGATCTCAGCAGCTAATCAAGCGGCTCAAGAGAACACACGCAAAATCCTTCAATTGCACAAGTTCGGGTCGATTTTTCACAACTTGCACCTCGTGGTCGTTGCATAAGCTTTCCGCAGAGCGTATAGGATATGATGGCCCTTGAGGAATCTCTCGTGCTGCACCCCCCTTCCTAAGTACCTCATAACAGATGCAGTGCAGCTAGCGCGTCTCCAGCTAAAAGAAATTTCGCCTGTAAGACGATGCTTCTGAAACTTTGTCCCTTCGCCTCGTCACCTAGTAAAACAGCCTGCGCGTCTTACAGCATTCTGTCTACCAAGATCCGCTTCCAGCAAATCACCTCCCGTCGTACCTCCCCACGACGACGGTTTTGAATCTTCGAACAGCCTGTGCTTCTTCTCATCACGACTCCCCCAGCCCTCCCCCTCAGAAAAGCAGTAACGACCAAAACATTTCCGTTCGGCTTCTCACCTCTTCAAAGAGCCTGCGCGTCTCTCCATCGAACGCGTTGTAGCGGCAGTCGAAGTCGCGCAGGTTCTGAAGCATGCCCAGCGACGCCGGCACATCCTGGAGCGGGTTTGAGTTAACGTGCAGCTTGGTCAAGTCCGCTATTTTTCCGATGGAGTCCGGGAGGGCAGTCAGCTTGTTGCTGCTCAGGTCTAGTTTGGTCAGGCAGCTCAGGCCGTCCAAGTCGCGGGGGAGCTCTTTGAGAAGGTTGCTTTCTGCAGGGTTAAGCAAGGCGATTAAGTTAAGGCTGCGGATGTGGGTCAGGTAAAGAGCGTAATCATGCTGAGAGTTTACTATGAGCGAGAAGGCATACACTAAGCTCAGGCCGTCCAAGTCGCGGGGAGAGTCCTTGAGGGAATTGCTTTCTGCAGGGTCAAGAAAGCGTTGAGTTCACGTCAAGGATATTTACAAGGAAGGGAAAAGCACGTAAGTCAGGCTAAGAGTCTACTTAATATAGAGTAGCTCAACGTTGAGATCAGGGCACGGGATCGCTCCTTCAGAGGATTGTGCCTTTGTAGGATGATAAAGGAGGGTTGATTTTGAATCAGACGTACAGGTCTAGGTCAACAAGTAGGATCAGTAGAGAACCTGGTAATAGAGGAAGAGCTTCAGCATTGTCTAGGTCAACAAGTAGGATCAGTAGAGAACCTGGTAATAGAGGAAGAGCTTCAGCATTCGCTCAGGGGGACGCAGTCACTTGGCAAGCCCCCAAGAACTCCGCTCTTCGCAGGTTATAGATGGTGAATCCACTCAGAATCTGATCGTCATCTGCAGAATGATCGGTCAGAAAAGTCGTTCAAGGACGAAGGCCGACCGGAGGACCAGGTGAAAGACGCGTTGAGGAAATAGCAGGGATTTTCACACTGCGCTCACCCAGGTTGAGCTGGACCAGGGAGGCCAGCGATGTGAACGATGGCGGGAGTGTCGAGATCTGGTTGCTGCTGAGATCGAGCTCCTTCAGACTCTTCAGGTCGCCGATGGCCGGGTCTAGGGCCGTCAGCTGGTTTCCGCACATCTCGAGAACCTGGGTCAATGAGCGAAGGTTACAGTAACCGTGGTTCTCACTCCCGGAAGCTTTGGAGCCCGACAATCGGTTGTAAATCGCGTCAAATTGAAAATCTTGCGAAGGCGTCTTTGCCGTCCAAATAGGGGCCAGACAGATTGGTCGGTGTGCAAGTTCTCTTGACACGGCGATGAAAATGGCGAAGAGAAGGACGCATCTCGTGACGAAGATACTTAGACGCCGAATTGGAATCCTCTTGAAAGATTGGGGAAGTCTGCGCTCGACTGATGCTTATGCTCGAAAAACGTATGGGGCAAAAAACCTGACACTGTCAAAGCAAAAAGAGCCGAACGAAACGCAAAACCTGACGACTGCAGCACCTGCCACCACGAACGGCCTACGAGAAGAGCACAGATCACAAAAACTTGCGCGAGTCGCACGTTTTCAAGCTGCCTCTGCAGCGGACTTCTGACCGTCGTGAAGGACATCAAAGGTTTGAGGCCAAGAAGCTTGCAGCCTGCACACGATCTTCAGTAAAGGCGACCACCGATGTTACCAACGAAGACCACGTGGAGTCGCTTTCTCACCGGCCGCTTGTGCAGCCCGTATATAACCTTCGAGTATATGACTTTCGAGAACGGAAAAAGAACAGAGCCGGGCCTGGTGATTAACCTTCTCAGCCTGCATATGATACAGCCTGCACATGATCTTCTGAAATTCGAACTCAGAATAACAGTTTGATGGCGACGTTACTGAAGCTGTGCTCATACCTGCAGCTTGTGCAGCCCGCATACGACCTTGGGAAACTCGGTAAACTTGTTGTAGTTGAGCTTGAGGACCTTCAGGTTTTTCAGCTCCGCCAGGTCGAGGGGCAGACTCGTCAGAGAGCAGCTGCACGTCAGCAGAGCGGGCTTGTGACGTCAGCAGGAAGGATGAGTTGTCTCGGCACAAGAACTACGTATGTCGAGTTACTTTCTGACGTAGCCCGTGGGTTGACTGTGGATCAAGAATGTGGCCTTCTGGGGATGCTTGAGGCACTGCAATGACAGCTACACTGCTGTTTTGCGTCTTTCAAGTCCCACGGATCTTTGAGTACGTTTGCAACTCATCAAAGAGATCAGAATTGAACTTTCTTTCCTATTTCTTTGCCAGTGCAAAGCTTGCCCTTTGCTGCCCAGTCCTCCAAGGAACTGTTACCAATAGTTTGGACTTTCTGCTTCAAGACATCTTCCTTGCACTCCCTTCTCTTCAGAAGTACCGAGTACGACTCACTTCCGCAAGTCGAGCTCAGTTGGAGGCGGCTGGATCAGCTTCACTTGTAGGACGAATTGAGAGGGCAGCTCCTGAAGCTCGGTCATGTAACTGCAGAAACGAAAACGCAGCTTTTTTCAATCCGATTTTCCAAATACTGATCCCCGTCAGAAGCAGTATATCGAGCTGGTCCGCTGCTTTTTGGAAAGGAGATCTCTAATGACTGCCTCCCCTACCTCACATATGGCCACAGACTTATGCAAGTATCTGTCATTTGCAGATGGCACCACATGTGGAAAAGATGGAGATGGAATGCCGTAACTGCTGCTCCAGGACATTGTAGATTGAACAATACAAAGCAGAGTAAAGGCTTATGGTGAACAATCTGCAAGTGCAAGACAGACAAGCCCAACACTCCCCAAACTTAAGCTGACTGTAACACTACATCAGCGACTGCAACACTACATCAGCATTGCAGCCTTGTCAAATTGCGTCAGCTGCATGGCTTGTTCTCAAGTGGCACGCCACTCGATGGGCCAAAGAAAAGGTGGCAGGAATGTATGCAAGTTGGTCAAGGGTCCGCATCGGTGGCCAGTATGATGGCGCTAGACAAAACTTGAGGTGGTCAGAATAGAGTCTGCTGGATAAGAACGGTGTTCCTTAGACAGGGCACCAGCACTTCCTTTGTAAGTATTCAAATGTGGTGTGAAACCGGTCTATCAGATTGACCAACACTGCAAGCTGGCGCGAGGTGTCACTGTGCCTCACCTCAGATTGATCCTGCCCGTCTTCTTCGACTCAAAGAGCTTGGGCTTGAGCTTGTCCATCTTATCCATCTTCGCCGAGCCCTGGCCAAATGGCCACCTTATGTCAGCCCAGAAAATGGTCTGCCCGCACTTTATTACTGCATTTGCTCAGACTTGATGTTCTCAGCTCCTCCTCGAGCTTGTAGTAGTACTCATAATGGCGGCCCTCGATCCAGCTTTGGGCAACTTTGCAGCGGCCGTAGAGCTGAAATGCAGCTTTGCTTCGCCTGCATCTTTTCCCTGTAGGTTGCACGCAGCTCCCGTTTCATATCGGGTCCTTGGTCTCCGGAGCCTTCCCAGCCTGCTTGCATCACGCTTGAATTCCCTGCAGCCTGCCTAGCCTTGCTCCAGATGGAAAGACAAGCAGGCGACATGGAAAGGGGCCGGCCGCGACGCCCAAATCCTCGCCGGGCCATCCTTCTCACTCAACTCTACGGTACGCTCACAAGTTCCAGGCCGAGGTCTGCTTGACATGTAGAGGATTCAGTTGGCGCGCGAGCGAATGCATGTCAAGCTCGAGTCGGCGAGCCTAGGTATTAGGTACCTACCTATATTGGTTCAAGCTCTACTGGTACGTAGTACCTAAGTACCAACCTTTTACTAGTGTACAGACTCCAGTGTATGGTACGTATCGTACTCAAAACCTCGAACAGTACTACATAGAACAGTACTGCATCTTATACGCACCCTGGCCTGCTGAGCTATAGCCTCTTCAGCTCTTCGGTCCTGAGGCTTCTCTGATTTTCCGTGACTCTGTCGGATGCGAGAGAAGGGGAGTGCTGAAGTTTTCAGAATACCCGAGCTCTCGATCAAACCAAGCTGTAATCTAATAGAAGGCAATCTGTCCGCAAAGCGTTCCGGTTCATCATTTACAAACAACAAGCGGTAAATGCAAGCTTTCTTCAGCTAAGCTACGACGTCACAGAAAAGCGTTTCTCACCTTTATCTGCAGCACTGAGCTGATTGGGTTGTGCTAAATTATTAAAAGCTTTCCTGTAGAGGTTCGACACTTGCATACGGCAGCTGGAAAGACCACAATCCTGTCATAGAAGGTGCTTTTGCCACGCACTGGTCATCAAGAATGCCAACCGTGTGCAAGGACGCCCTCAAGGCTTTAGAAGACTCTAAAAAAGTTAGAGCTTCAGACCTTACGAAAATCGAGCTATGGGGACAAATACCACCAATAGAAAAGGTGAGACCAACATTTACCTGCTTCTATCAGGTATGATTTTGAGATTGCAGCACAGTTACAAACTTCTGGTTTGAGAAGTGGTAATAGGTGCAGAAGCAGCACCAGATTACCAGGCTTATGCATACTGTCGGCAAGTTAACGGAAGCATACCAACCACCTCTTCCAATTTGGCATACATATAGCTGCAGCACTGCCGAAGGTGGAATGGATTCAGCGACTCCACATTCAGACTCTCGCTTGCACTCCTAAGCATTGCTTTGTAATTGCTCCACAGGTGTCTGCTTGAAATCAGTCTCTTTACCTCTTCATATTGGTGGTGCATAAAGATTAGCGCCGGGGCGCTGTAGTCCTCCTGAGTTCATCAGTCAGAGAGTCCTCGCTAGGTTCTTGGATGCGGACAGGGGCTTTCTGTCCCTTCCAATCTGACTTTGACATACGGTGATCTCTTTTTGGACATTGTGTTTTGCGTGTTTGGTGGTGGTGCTTATTCCTTCACCAGAAATATAAAAACCAATTGTGCTCAGCACCAAGGCCCGAGCGTCGCAGGGTGAATCGAAGCACAGGAAAATTTTGGAAGACAGTTCATTTGTTAAGAGTCTGCACTCTCATCACCTGACTGCCACCTGGCTGCTCAGAAAGTGCTCGGATTCACCATCGTCTGCGACTTTGGATCCAAAAATGTTTTTGATACTGTCCTTCTTGCACCGAACCCCTTTCATTGATGTGGCTTTGGTTGTCACCACAGAGTCAAATCTTGGTGGATTGAGAAAAGACAGGGATCCCGACACATTTAGTACACGTGATCGCTTTCTAGAGAAGACATCCATAGACCACGTACAGGCGGCACGCAAGCAAACCGGACCTGTCTCCAGACGAGTTGGAACAGATTGTGAGACATCCTTGCGTCAGATCAATCAAGTGTTACTTCCAGGGTTAACCTTCTGCCGAAAATTTGGCCTAGATGCTTTCAACTTATAGCAACTTGTTCGAAGCTTATGCACTATTCTCTGTTGCAGATGGACGCGAGTCTGGCTACGCTCAAATCGTGTACCCATCTCTCCTTGTCCAGCAATAACATTGACAAGATCAGCAATCTAGCAGGTGAGCGGTCGATTTGCCAAGCTTGCAGCATTTGTTCCTCTGACTCCTGGCTTGTGTTCTTGTTATCCGAGTGATAAGAGGACCACCTTTCGGGTGTGCCCGCTGACATCATCTCCACTGACTCATCATATGTCCACAAGCGATGTCGTGCAGATCATGCTAGATACATGTGCAAAATGCAGAGTGCCGTAACAAAGGCTCATTGATTGCAAGGATACGAGTTCCCCTGTCATACTGCTGAGCAACAACCAGCCAGAGCCTCCCTCGCTTCGAGCGGGATCTGCCGTTCCGATTTGGGACTTCGTTCCGATCTGCGCTCGCAACGTGCAGGCATGGACTCCTTGAGAATCCTCTCGCTGGCACGGAACCAGATCAAAAAGATCGAAAACCTGGAGGCCGTGGCAGAGACGCTGGAAGAGCTCTGGATCTCGTACAATCTGCTCGAAAAGCTGACTAACCTGGAGAAGCTCTCCAAGCTACGAGTCTTGTTCTTGTCAAACAATAAGGTGAGCAAAACATGGGCTGGACTTTACGCAGAGGCTGCAGTCATCGGATTGCCGAATTCGCTTTCGAACTTTACTTTTCAGCAATGATGCCCAGTTCGAGCCTTCTTGAGTATGGGCTGGTGCACTTGTGCCGTCGACAAGACAACTTCGAGTTTTCTGCAGTGTCTATGCTCGAATGAAAGTGGTTTGATATTCGTAAAAAACTCGAAAATTGCTAGCTTGTAGTGTTAGAAGCTTAGGCGACGGGCCATTAGGTCACCTTTGCCGTTTCAGAAGAAAGTCGATATGAGGCCTTTCGCTGAGACAATGATCGTAGAAACAGATTGTCCGACGAAAGAGAACACAGGGGTGCTGAGGAGTCACTAAGAGACATTTCGAAGCAGGGGTTCAGCGAGGCACACCGACAAAGAAGCTTGTCTCTTGTACTCCCTCATCTTCACCACGAGGAGTCAGGCTCATCGAGGCGTTTCTATTTTTACTAAGCTACCAGGGCCGTTGAATCTATCAACAGAAAAATTCTTGCACCGTCCAGATTGCCGAATGGGCGGAGATCGAACGGCTGGCGCAGCTCCCGGCACTGGAAGACCTGCTGCTGGTCGGCAACCCGCTCACCGAAAAGTACAACGTCTCAGCGGCTGATAATCCATCCAAGCCAGGAAGCACGTGGAGACTAGCGGTACGTTTGAGCATCGGAAACTTTCTCCACGTGCATGTTTCTGTCACAAGGCATGTCAAGGCGTTCCCAGCGCAGGGGCCAAAGATTCATAGGCAGAAATCAATGGACGAGCTGATAACGGCTTCGAAGAATTGGGCTTCGTGATTGAAAGTGCTCACTGCTTCGGCAAAGGCACGGAACCGGTGGGTCGCTTTCCGGTACCCACGTCGGTTGGTCGTGTGCGTTGGCTTTCGGTTCACAGTCGAGATCGCACGCAGACTGCGAGTCCAATATTCGAGTTGCTGTCAGCAGATCAAGAGTATGACCCTTCCACTGGAGATCCGTTGCATCAGTGGTTCTGAACATGGATGGGTCTTTCTTCAACGTCGATTTTGAGAGCGTTTCCCTTGGTTTTACAAGGCTCGTTGCATAGACTTTTATGTACCCTTCTGGCTCCCAACTTCACGCACCGACTACATGAGCAGTCCGCCAGGCATTCGACTTGCTCTTCTTGAACGCTGCTGGGCAATATGAGAGCTTCGAGGCACGGAGAAAAGGACCGTCTTTTCTCAAGTAGTAGTCTCTAGCTACAAGTGGTACTCTAAAACATGCACAGGATGCCTTCATCAGGTAGTCAACTGATTGGAGCCTTGAAACCTTTCACCGTCGGCTTTGCTTCGCTGGATAAAACAGCAGTTCTGAGCCCTCCACATAGAGATGCTACTTTTCGTCGACCTCTTTATCTTTGCCTGAGTACATCCAAGTCTCTCGCTTATGTCGGAGCGCTCGTCGGACTTAATGACACCTCTTCGAAAGCTTCGCGCGTGCTCAGGTCGATTGCCTCACCATTTCCGAAGGTGGTACCCCTAGCTAAGCGCAAGTGTTATTTTCTGCCTGTTTGTTTCTAGGTCCTCCAAAGATTACCAGGGCTCAAGAAACTGGATGGGATCTTGGTGGACAGGGAAGAAGTGGAGCAGGCCGCAGCTCAGAAGGCGGTCAGCTGACGTACTGGTTGCCTGTTGTAAAGCGGACTGCTCTTAGCATCGTTAGCCAGACGGCATAGCCAATTGCTTGTACACTGTACCTTTGAGGTACGCCGGTACATTTCTGAACGTTGTTCATTTGCATGAGTTGCTGCTTGTTGAAGCAAAAAAGAAGATAAACGCGCATCAAGGTGCGCTCAGTGCAGTGTTTCAATGTTCCACTAGTATGGCACAGTTTGGTTGGCAACTACGTGATGAGTTGTTGATGCGCTCGACTGTAAGCTATTCAGCGTGAACTAAGATGCGAATTGTACCGCAAAGAACGTTGTACTCATCCTTACGCATGGTAGCATCGCGTGATCCTGACAGATGTCATGTAGAAGACATGAATGCGCACTGGTCTATCTTGTATGTCCGGGTCCCGATACATGCGTTGAGTCAATGCTTTCGACTTTAGGGCTTGATGGCAGCGGCGCTGAGGGCCTTAATCTGATCTTCAAAAGACCCAACGACTTACCATGCAAAAGGACCTCGAAGACAACCTGGCTGCAAAATTTTGCATGTGCAAAATGATCCTTGGATTTGGGCGTCATGACGCAACTGTTAAGCAAGTTCGAAAGAACTTGCAGACATAGAAGTCGAGATGGTCATGATGTCTGCTTGCTATCATGTGTAGTCTGAGCCCGCTGATATTGACATACATGAAAGCTCGTGTGCCCTGAGTGCACTGATCTATTAATCTTACAAGAATCCAGTGGCCCATGCTATTTCCACTTCCATCATGATGACTCAGCCTGAACATGATAACGTACTAACGGCTGGATCCCCTTGCAGATCCAACCTAGCGCGAAGCATCATTTTACAACCAAGATGGCGCGCGGCCAATGTCGCCAGTGAGTTACCAAGAGTAAAGTTGAATAACGCATCACATTCTATCATGCTGGCCACCAAGTTGCACGCCGTCGACTCAGCCGTCTGCCCGCTGTCTGTTGCCACCGCACCGAATTTTGGAAAGAGTTTGGAAGCTCTTGAAGGCCTGGACAATATATTGAAATTTTTTCACATCAGAAAACATTGCCACTACAGCCTGATCATGAGCTGGGGGTGAGCTGCCTGGTCCTCGGTCACATCGTTTAATCTACCTAGAATGATCTACTAACATTATAGACTACAGCCTGGCTCCGCGGAGAAGGCCGGCCTGCAGAGAGAAGTTGTGAAAATCTGATACCCAATTAAACCTGCGATATCAATCCGGCTACCGGTATGCCGGCCGGTATGCAAGTTAGGCTGCCTCCCTTGGGTCGTCGGCTACTCCGAGTACCCCCCTCTGAGTATCCCGGGCAAGTAGCCCGTCCAGACTGCGGGATTTTCAGCCCGGCTACTTTGTGTTCCGCGATGATCGGGAGCTAGGACCTACTTCGCCTTATCACGTGTGAACGACGAGCCCAGCAAGTACATATCCTTCGAAAAGTAGGCTACTCGGCCGGCTACTCGGCGGTTGACCAATCAAATTTGAGGACACGGTTCCAGTTTCTACCAGTTGTTGAAACGGACGCGTACACGAACACCGACAGTCTGCTTTCTTGAGTGATTGCGCGAATTCTTTGTGTCAACGTGGCACGCTAAGAGCGACCGGCGGAAGTAGCCGATGTCCGAAGTAGCCCCCGGTGTGGAAGGGGCTACTTCAGTTCCCGGTTCCTTGGAGAAACTTGAGAAGTAGCCGGGTACTCCAGTATCCCCAAGTATCCCCCAGTGTGGACTTTGGAGGCAGCCTATTAAATGGGTAATCCCGACACTCTCACAGTTCACTTGGCAAATGATGCATTGATCATCTCTAGCATGCCGGCGCATCCAAGGACCAAATCCGAATCCGACTCGATCAAGATCCGAGATCCGGCTACAGCTGACACTGTGATTGGCTGACGGCCTGACATGCAGACCGGTTGCACTACGCGGGGCGGTTGGCCGCGGTCGACGATGGACGTACCGTACTTACGTACTTAGGTAGGTACCGTACATACATACCGTACTGGCAACGGAATTCACCCCCAAACATCGCGAATAATTAATTATGAAACTTTTGAGTTTTCTCCGAGCGGTTTCAGAATTTATTTTTCATTTCGTCATTTTACTTTTTTGGTTTTTTCACCTGGTATTTGGAGCATTTCGCGGTTTTCAAGTTTGTTTTTGCGTTTCGTCATTTCTCCCTGGGGGTCCCATTTAGTTTCCAACTTTTCGTTTTTCCTCAAAATAATTAATAAAAGATGAATTCCCTTGCCGGTACGGTACATGGGCCGATTGTGCACACTGCACACTGCACATGCCCATGGAGTCAGAAGTACCTACAGACTTCCAAGTTCCGGATCAGGATTCAGGAGGTACCTACCGTACCAATTGTCCGGTTAGGCAACAATTACATATTTTTTGACTTGCCCAAAAATCTGAATTGAAAATAAATTCCAATTAAGGATCTTCAGATCATTTTGCCCCGTAGAAAAACAAAATAAATGCATAAATGAAGCTGCCCAAAATAACTGACACGAAATTAATTATTGGACAAAAATCTGCCCAACCGGACAATTGGTACGGGTATACGTACCCTACCTACTAGGTACCTACCTAGTACCGTACCTCGAACCTGGTACAGATGTCACTTCCATGTACCGGTACCAAGTTCCGACTGTACGTTGAAGGCCTTCCGCTCCTCCGCTCGGGGTACCTATTGAGCAACTTTAATACGCACCGATTGGTGCCCTGTGCTCGGAAGACTGAAGCCCGGAGCTTCTAGCAAATTCTCGGAGTCAACTAGAATGTCCTCCCCCTTGGAATTTTTGCGATGAAGGGTTTATCATGGGGTCAAGAGTTATCGCGTCTTAAAACAAAAACTCCGCAGGATGCTAGTGCCGCTCCCTGCGCGATGTCACGATGCCTAAGGCTGCCGCAAACCAA